TGACAAATTAAAACAAAAAACAAAAAACAAAAAATTTTAATTTTAATATTGTATTAAGTATTTAATTTAAAATTAATTAATAATAAAAATAAATAAAAATAGGATAACCTGTTTTAATAATTGGAACATAACTTTTGCATTCTACTAAACCCTTCCTCTTTTCCTTTTTTTGATTTTTAGTATTTTTTTTATTGAAAAGATCTACGGAAAAGCAGCACAAAGAGAATAAACAAAGAAAAAGTAAAAGGAAAGAGAGCCGTGAGAACAGAGCTTAAGGGAGCACAGCGTGGAAAAGTGTGCAGAAAATGATGGGGGGCCATGCAAGCCACGTGTAAATTAGATGTCTAAATAATACATCGACTGGTGGAGGATTATTCAAATTTGACTTAAGTTAAGTGGGTAAATAATATATTAATATTTATAAATTATTTAAATTTAATTTAAATAAAAATTGAATTTTATTTTATTATTGTAAAAGCAAACTCGAATTTAAAAAATTTAATTTATTAAATGAGTTAAATTTAAATATTTTAATATTTAATTAGAGTTATTTATAAATTTAATCAAAATTTTTAAATTTTAATATATTTTTATTATTTTAATTAAAATTTTTTATTTTATCTTTATATATATATCAATTTAAATTTAAGTTTAAATTTAAATTAAATATAAAAATTAAACTTATTTTTATTAAATAAATTTATTTGAATAAATTTAAATAATTTAATTTTTATATCAAATTGAATATAAATTTAAATTTTAAAATTTAATTAAATTCGAATTAAATTTTAAATCAAACTCATATTCAAACTTTTCATTATATCTATTTGATTTGATTAAATTATATTTCTAATTTAAATATTCAGATAATAATGCAAAATTATGTTATATATTATTGGGTTTTGTTTTTATTTTGTTGGTTTTCAACAAAGACGGTGGGTGGGGGATGGCAAGGGATGCCGTTTCCATTACCCAAATCAATCATTTTCTATGTTCAAATCACAAAATCCCTTATTCGCTCTTTCTTTTTATTTTATTGTGGCGGAAAGTGGAGGTTCTAAGGGCGTGCGTGTTAGTTTCTCGAGAAAATAAGCTGAAAGTGATTTCACAGCACACCACTTTTCTCTTTTGCCAGCTGTGTTTCCTTCTTTCTTTGCTTCTATACTCAATGATGCCTTGCTGTCCTACCAATTCTTTATTTCATAAACCCATCACTTGTTGACACGTGGCTGGACTTTCCTTTCTTTTCTTTTTTTTTACCTAATAATAATAATTACCTCCCTTCGTAGTAATTTTTCTAAAAGAAACAAAAATACTATCTATCTGGTGTTTCCTCTGGCTGGATTCCAAAAATTTGATGTTTGACCCTTATCTAAAATCACTATTTCTTTGTTTTATTTAAATTGTAATAATTGATTTTTTTAACTTTTTTTATCTATTTATTTTTAATATTTTAATTAAGAGAATTTTATAAATTGTGCATTTAAAATTTACTTTGTTTTAAATCTTAATTAATTAAAAAATAGAAAATTTATATTTTATTAAAATATGAATCCAAGTTAAATGGACTCAAATCTATGAACACATTTACCTGTACATATATTTAATCTCAATTAGAATTGAATTTGAATACTATTTTTTTATAAAATTGTGATATATGTTATATGAATATATATATATATATATATATATTTGGAACCTATTAAACTTAAATGAAAATCTTAGAAGTTTTTATTTAACTAATAAAAAAATTATTGATGGCTATTACTAATTTGATTTAAGAGTGCTCATTTGATCGATTTGATTAATTTTAAATTAAAATTATTACTTTCAAAAATTAATTGATTAAAATTATTAATTTAGTTGGTTTGATTAATTTTTTTAATTAATTAAATAATAAATATATTTAAATTAAATTATATTTTTAAATTTTAAATTTTCATATTTTAAATAAATTAAATAAAATTATTTAATAAAATATTTAAATACTAAAATATTATGTAAAAAATTCTAACAACTTATGAAATAAAATTATCTATATTTTTATTTTATATTTAAATTTTATTATATTTTAATTAAAATTTTAATTATTTTGATTAAAATCAAATTATAAATATCCTTAATTCGATTTCATATGCAAAAAGTAATTTTTTAATATAATTATTTTTTTTTTGGATAATTTATAAAACTTCACTTTCAATTTTTGTGGAGTAATATGCAAATGTAATATTACAATTATTACTTTATTTTCTTTTAATGTAATTTCTAAAGTTAACAAAAGAAAATTAAAAAAAAAAAAAAGAAAGAAAGAAATAGTAATGGCTTTTTCGCTTTTACATGGATAGTCGGATACGAAGGTTGAAGTGAAATGAGACATGATTTACAAATGATAGATGAGATAAGCGGCCACGTGCAGTGGTTAATTAAAAAGGTTAAAAAGTTAATTAACATTAATTAATCATGTGATTGTCGGGAATAAGAGGGTATCAATCTTTGGTTAAGAGTCGGCTGAAGAGTTGTAACAAGCTGTCGTCTACTTGCCATGCATCAACTAATGCTGGACCCCACTTCTCGCCGAAAAATTTTGGCTTGTTGGGCGATACTAATTAACCTTTTTTTTACCTCTCAATTCTTCTTTGTTTCTCTTTTTTGTGTTTTCATTATAAAGCTTTTGGTTTTTGTTTTTCAATATTAAATTTTTCCTAACATCTTTTTTTTTTAATTATTTTTTAAAATTAAATTGTAAACAAACTTATAAAATTTTATTTTCATTATAATCACCAAAAATTATTTTTTGTGGACAATCAATAAATTTAATATAAATCTTTATTACAGTCTATGATATATTCTGATCATAAAAAAAAATTGTATCTCTTTACAATAATTTTTTATGTACAAAAAGAAAATTGAGCTCAATTATATGCACAAATTTGCTGTTGAACCAATTGTTTGCAAATATCAAAATGCCTTATACATGTTTCACATAAAGTTTCTTGAATAATTTTAAAAAATAAAATAAAATATTTAATAAGGGGGTTATTATTAATTAATAAATTTATAATTGAATAAAATATGTTAATAAATTTAATTATAATATGAGATAAATATAAGAATTCAAATAATTAAGTGTAATCACTTATCTATAAGTTTTATACATCTTATTGAATTTGTGTGATTTGATAATTATATAAATTTTTGGTTTGATAAACCTTTAATAGATAAATTTTTAGGGTTTTAATAAAAATTGATTAAGGTTTACCTTTCACTTCTAATTAATAGTGTCTACTATTAAAAATTATCAATAAGAGTAGAGTAAAAATAAATACTTAGACTTTTCATAAAGCTATAATTACTTTTACTTATCAATTATAACTCAAAATAGGTACAAAATATAATTAAATTTGATATTCTATTATTTTCATATATTATTGAAATTTAAAATTATGCCTTAAAAAAACTTGAAAATGACTTTTTTTCAACTTTAATTTTTGTGATTGTATGACATATATATTACACTAATTACAGTTGCCTATATATATATATATATATATATATATACATGTGCGTGAAAATAGTAAGGTATACAAATATAAAATATATATATATATATATTGAAATTAGATTTTAAGATTCATATATTCATATCATATAAAATATTAAAATTTATATATTTATATTATATTTTATATAAAAATTATATATTATAATTTGTATCGATAAAAAAAAATATAAAAAATAATTTTTTTGTTTATGTAAATTCATATATAGTTATTGTTATAATTTTAAGCTGTGTTACTTTCATGTCATATTTTTATATTATATTTATGTCATATTTTAAAAAATTATGTATTATAATTTATGTGGATATAAAAATATAAAATATAATTTTTTATTTTATTAAACTCGTGTCATATTTTAAATTATTAGATTTAATTAAAATTAAATTCTTAAATAATTATAAAAAAGATAAGATAGAAGAGTGATGGGATCGACATAAAAAAGAATACCAAAATTTACTTTTATATATACATATATATATATATGTGATTGAAATAGGGCAATGCTATGCTATCTATTCTATTTTAAGTGATAGATATGTATGAAGCATCACATTGGTTGGAGTGCTGTCTGCTTCGACCAAATTTAAACAAACAAAGTGGTTGAATTTCGTGATAACCATAACCAAACCCCAAAACCTTTTGTTTTTGTTATCATCGCTCTTTGCCAAAATTTTGTGTCATTTTCATTTGACCTCTCTGATTTGTTATTTCTGATTAATGCTTTTATTTTCACTTCTCCTTTTCATTATCACCATCTTTCGTTTTCTTTTTTAATTTTTAGTACCACACTATGAATTTCTTATTTATTGTAATCTTATTTAAGGGATTGGATAATGCTTTTAAATAGTTTTCATTATTTTCTATAATATGATAATGATTTTTATTTAAATTTATTTTAGTCGAATATCCTTCTCATATGATTGTCCTTGCTATTTAAAATATTTTTGAAGTCAACAAAACCATTATGACTCAATTTCAGAGTCTTATTCAAATTTCGTGTACCAAAATTATTCAAAAAAATAAAATAAAAGCAAAATGTAATTGCAATCTATAGTACAAGGTTCCTTTATTAATGTGTGAATTCATAATTTACGATTAAATTTTCATTTGAAAACTTACAAAAAAAAATGTATTAGAATTATATTTTTATAAATTTAACATAAAACATATTTTATTATATTATAAAAATTCAACCAAACTACAATATGCATCCTAAAATTTATATATAATATAATAATACGATATGAATATAAATATAATAAAAATATTTTATATTATCATTTTAATTTAAAATTTAATATATAATTTTTATATAAAATATTATATAAATTTTAATATTTTATATAATATAAATACATAAATTATTAAATTTATTAAAATCCTACAAATTTTTAAGAGGATAATAGATGCATTATTATTAAAAATAAATAAATCAACAAATGGTGGAGAAATCTTGTCGTATCCTTGCAGAATGAGAGAGCAAAGCATAAATAAACCATAATGATTGATTTTTCATTACATAAATTTTACATCCTCATATATACACTTTAGCTACTCTCACTTCCCATCCCAACTAACTACTACAATACAACACTGCAACTTGAAGTACGTGGATCTTTAAGAACTTTGTCATAACCATATATGGATCAACCAATCCCATGTTCACCACGTGACACGTGTCCTAGGCTTAATTCAGACCGCCAGTAGAATATATATCACCGTAATGACTATAATGCTCTGCTACAATCAGCCTTACCGAATCCCACTCTCCCATTGGCTAGATCAAATTCCACCCAAAGATTTTGTTGATGAACGTTTCCGACTATATTGCTCGCAATCCCAAGCATATTCGACCGTCCGATCCCCAAGCAATGGACCCCACCTCCAACATCAGCTAACATCCTTTCCTTGTCAACGGTGATCTCCACCCCTTTCTCAAACTCCAATACCATATCACCCATCAACCGTCCGATCTCAATTGGGTTGCCGTCAAAACACATGTCAGCTACTCCACCGTACACGTAACTCTTTTTAAGCCTGGGACCTACTAGCCTCACCACTTCTTCCCTCACCGTGTTATAGGCCTCATCAACCAAGTAAGTGAACTCTGAACCCGAATCGATAATGGTTTGACCCGATCCGCCTGCATCGGGTCGGAAAACGGAAGTGGGGATTGGCAATTTTTTTGCTCCAATTCGTATCCCTTGCATTGGAAGAGTGTATGCCAAAGGATCCATATTAGGCATGGTTCGACTTCGAGGGAAAATCAAAAGGTTAACGTACTGAAACCCGCGGGAATTCGGGTTTTCACCGAGATAAAACGACCCGGTGGGTGAAACCCCGGGTTGCGTCCGACGAGTAGGCACACAGTAAGAAAACTTGGAAATTTTAGCTTGGGAAGCAAAAGACAACCGTCCAAGGTTCATTCCCAAAATACCCTTGTCTTCGCTGGTATCGGTGGCACAACCAAGGATCAAAGGAGGGGTACTTTGGGAACGTGAAAAAGTGATTTTTTCTTTGACGAGGTTGCCCTCAGCAAGTGTTCCGTCGGCGTAGAAGTAAGAATAGTGGCATAAACGGTTCTGGTCGCAAGAAGTAGGGAGGGTAAAATCGGGAATTCGAGGCTTACAGAGAGGGTGGTTACATGGCAAAACCGAGAAAGAAGAGGAAAGAGAAGGATCAAACGACGCCATAGGAGGCGGCTTTTGGGCAACCTTTTTGTGGCACTGAATCCAGGAGAGTTGGCTCCCAGTATCCAACACCATCTGCTGAGTCTGCGGTGGAGTGCCTATAGGGAGAGCCACGACCAAAGCCATTGAATACTTGAACGTTGTTTTATAATTATATGAAGATGGGGTTGGCCTTGGCCTTGGCCTAACCCGTGGGTTTGGCTTGGTTTCTGAAACAAAAGAAGGGAATAGCGTTTGAACATTACTACGAGAGAAACGGACGGAAGTGAGAGGAAACGAGAAGGAAACGGACATGTTCTGGTTTTGCGTTGGTTTTCCTTGTGTTAAGAGAGAACAAAAAGAAGCAAGGAAGAAAAGAAAAAGAGGGAGAGAGGAAATAACGGGCAGATTTTGTAAGAGAAGAGCCATTGATTCAAAGTAACGAGTGAGCTTGGGCAGAGCGGAGAAGAAAGGTTGGGGTAGTATTTATATAAGGGAAAAGGTCGCTCTGGCTATTAGCTAAGACCTATGCGGAGGAAACAGACAACCAAAACATGAAGAAATCTACAGCAATGTATACGCGTTTTCTTAATTGAGCGGTTAGATCTTATGATGATTCTTAATTAAAAAAGTGGTCACCATTTTTATGATTTATTTATGTACTATAAATTTGTGTATATATATATTTTTTATTACACATTAAATATTTATAAAATATGAAAATTATTATATTAATTTTAAAACTATATCATATATAATTATTATATTATATTTAATTAATTATAATTTAAAAATTATATGAAATTTATTAAAATTTTATATGAACCATATATTTATAAATATTTGATTCTTACATAATTTTTTATTATAATTGAATAATCATAAAATTATAATAAAAAATTATTAATAAAATGCTCCTATTAAATTAATATCAACAAATTAAATACGAAATATATTTTTATTAAAATTTTAAATCATATTAATTTTATAAATTTTATTGCTTTTATATAATCTGTTTTTGTGCTAAACTTATCGTATTTACATGGAATTATGCAAGTTGGCCCTTTTTAAGAAAATATATATCTAGGCCGCTAAATAATCAATTGTCCATTATTTTTCGTTTGAGAGGTTTGTAGATAAATCCCATTTACGAACAAATGTTTCATCCCTCCTTTATTCCTTATTTGATTTTTATAAGATTAAACAACATTTATAGATGTTCAATGTTTGTTTATATTTTAAAGTAAAAAAAAAAAAAAGTTTTTAGAAAAATAAAATTGGAATATAAAAAGAGAAGAATTTTTTTGCTAGGTACTTATAGAATATAGACAATGTTTTAAAATAGTCAACTATTATTTTCTTTATACATTTGATATATTATTTATCAAATTCAAAAGAGGAAAAGATTGTAAAATTTTTTCTTCAAATTTCATATAGATATTGGTTAATATTTTTCTAAGACATACTTCACAAAAATTATTTTTGGTTTTGTTTGTGTAAAAGGAACTTGAAAATGAAAAAAAAAAAAATGTTGGCTTGTGACCTTGATTAAAGTGATATTTAAGAAATAAAATATGTAAAAATTTTGCTAATGAATTCTCTAAAAGCTCCTTTTTAAATTTACTAAATCAGGTAATTTATTCTTATAGTGCATTGAAACTAATCAAATTAATTAAAGATAACGTACAAATTTACCATTTATGTGAATGGTGTAAATTTGGCATTAATTTTTTTAGTTGGTTCAATTTTACGTTATACTTTTAATTTTGGAATAATTTACTATTGTACTTCTAATTTCAGAGCAAAGTTGGTCAAAATGTAACAATTGTGAAATATTCTATTAAATATTTCATTAGAAACTGTTTTATAATTCAAATGAAACTAACATGATAAAAAAATATCAATATCATCCCCAAACATTTGATCTAGTGGCTAAAAATATTTGAAGAGACATCAAAGATCTGATTTTAAATCAAGCATTCTCATCCATTTTATTTGTATTAAAATTTTATCTTAACAAAAAAAATGTTGATATCAAATGAAAAAGTTTAATGTAGTAGTATATTTAATAGAAAATGTCATAAAAAAAGAAAAAAAGTAAAATAAAAAATAGGATTATGTAACATTTTATTTAATAAAAAATAAATTTTTTTATTTTAATTTCATGATTTTTTTTCCTGTCATATTATTTTTCATTTTTTTTAAAATTTTAAAACAGCCTTTAACATAACCGTTCAGAAAGATTGATGGCAATCACATAAATGCAATAAATACAATGGTGAATTTACGCCTTATATCAATTAACTACCAACTACTACATTTAATATACTAATATTCAATAAATAATAATTTAAAAAATTTAAAAAATGTTAGCAAAATCTAATTTATAAGTAATTCATAATTTTTTAATTTAACGAAAAAGGTAATTGAAAAAAGTCGTTATCGATAAAATAATTTTAATAAAATTTAATAAATGTATTTTTAATGAGATGATTAAAAAGGTAAGGACGTTAAATGCAGTCTTAATGTGTACGTGAGGTTTTAGCTCAATGCAATGATAACAAAAGAAAAAGCCGTTAGGTTCATTAGCTGGCTGCTTCACTTTCAACAGTTGTCCATTTTAAGATTGTTCGGTCAACAAATCTTCACAATCTTTTGTCCCAATATAATGGATTTTTTTTATATATAATTTTGCATATATGTGAAGATTTGTTTGGTTTAATTAAAAAAAAAAAAAAGCAAAACGTTTTTTGGATAATTGTGAAAAATATTTTAAACTACTTATTTTTATAAATTTTCTTAACTAATAATTACTTTGATGAGTAACAAATATATGTTTCATTAGTTATCTTTTCGTTTCAAATTAAAATTATCCATCTCCAAAAACAAATTCCATTTCTAATTTCTTTCCTTACTTTTTTTATAATACAAATATCTTAAAAATTTTTTATTTAGTGATAAAAAATTTTTGAACTTCGATCCATATAAATATTTTTATGTGTTGATTTAAACATGTTTATTTATATAGAATTTAATAAATTAAATTTTTTTTAAAAATCTTTCAATAAACTTAAATTTAAATAATAAAATAAAATTTTTTATCACTTGAATCAATTGTGATTGATTTTTTTTAATTTTATATTAAAAATTATTATATGATATTTTCTACGAAAGATTTTTTTCATTTTATAAATTTTATTTACTTTTCAAAATTAATAGATTTAAAAATTTTAAAAAAAAGTTAAAATGTCTGAAAATGTTAGAAATCAATCGTAAATTTCATAATTTTCTTGAATTAATATAGAGATAAAAAGTTTCAATTGTAGTTGACTTGCCGAGCGACTCGGGGACGGTCAAATTACGTCAAGAGCTTTTGAAAACGACGTTCATCTCTAGGATGCAAAGTACAAAACCTGGTTTCCTCTTTTTGCCTGATTTTTTAAACAAACTAATTTCTATTTTAAAGGTTCATTCATAGTCAACAACAGCTGGCTTGCACAACGATAACCAGCTCAAAAACCAAAAGTCCACTGTAGCAGCAACTTCTTTTTCCACAGGCCAACGATCAGATTTAATAAATGAGTTTTAAAGAAAAAAAAAATCTCAAAATTTAATTTCTTTTCTGGTTAAGCAAAGTTGTTCAATAATTTATTGATAGGGTATTTATAGCAAGTTCTAACTGTTGAGACCAGGACCAATGTATGCATTTTGTACTCATTGTTATCTTGCTCAAACAAATTATATTGGGAGTTATTAAATAAAGTTTGCAAAAATAATAAATTCAAAAATACTATCAATAACACTATGATATATTGTTAAGAGATTTAATAATTTAATAATTTATTTTATATAAAAAATGTATAAAATATGAAATTTATGGTATTATAAATTTTGTCATTAATCATGTTGAAATGTTGTTGATCGGATCTAATATGGTATTGATGATAAAATTTTTTGTTTAATTTTCTAAAACCTTTAAAAGGTCAAAAAAATCTAAAAAATTAGACAAAAACTATGATAATTTTTATTTTCGTAAAATTATTGAAAATAAAAAAATTATTTTTTATTTTTAAATAAATATCGGCCACATTTTTTAAACTTATTTTTTAAATAATTGAATATTAAAATTTGAAATATTTTACTTATAAAACATTTTTTTAAAAATTAAGAAAACAAATTAATTTTTTATGTTTAAATAGATTATGAACAGTTTAAGAAAACGAAAACTATTTTTTATTCTTAAAAATTTCTTAAAAAAAAAAGGAGAGACACTTTCAAACTTCTGTGGGCCAAATCAATGTAGATGATGAGCTGGCAGATCCAACCTTCCCCAATCCGCTATCCTTTTTCGTTCTCTCTCCTCTTTCCTTTTCGCACTTTGCCATTCCTCTTGTCAAAATTTTCTTTCTTTTCTATAATTCATCAGATTATTTTTAAAAAAATACACTTATAATTTAATCATGTTGAAACGACGTTGACTGGATCTAATGTGACATTAACTATAAATACTTTTTTTTTAGTTTTTTAAAACATAAAAAACCAAAACTTTTATAAAAACTTGAAAAAAAAACAATATTTTATTTTAAAAACTATTAGAAAGGAAGCTATAAGATTTTTTTTATTTTTTTAAAATATGAAAAATTAAAATAATGGAATTTTTATTTTCAAAATTTTTAAATATTAACAAAATGGAATATCTTATATTTAAAATATTTTTTTAAATTAAGAAAACAAAATTAATTTTTATTTTTAAATAAATCATGGAGATTTTAAGAAAAAGAAAACTCTGGCAAAAAAGAAAACTTTTTTTTATTCTTAAAATTATAAAAAAAATTTTAAAAAAGAAAAAGAAAATGAAAGACTCTTTCAACTTCTCTCTCACTTTCCTTTTTTGTTTCTCACTGTCTCTATCAGGCCAAATCAATTGAGATGATCGGATCCAACCTTCCCCACTTCCTAATTTTTTCGTTCTCTCTCCTTTTTAAATATGAAAATTTAAACTATGATATAATATGATATAAAAAATAAAAAATAATATAATTTGAAATTTTAATAATTATTATATATAAATTTAATAAAATAAAAAATAAAATTATATTTTTATATCAATATAAATTATAATATATAATTTTTATATAAAATATAATATAACTATATAAATTTTAATATTTTATTTAATATAAATATATTAATAATTAAATTTATTTTTTTATTACACTTTGTCATCACTATTGATTGTCAAAATTTTCTTTTTTTTGCTTTAATTCATTAGATTATTTTTTAAAATATTTCTTATGATTTTTTCAGTCTTACTTTATCAAAGAGGTTTATATTTTTTATTTTTATAATTTTAATAAAATAATAAAAATGATACATTATTGTTTAGTTTTTCAAAAGCATTAAACAAGTATCCGTGTTTTTTTTAGTACTTTCATGACTTTTTAATAAATAATATGAATTTTATAAATAAAAAATATTTGTAATATTTCAAAATAAAAAAAAATGGCTTCCACTTAGTTAGCTTAATCAACATGATCAACATATAATTGATGAAAAAAATCCTAACACCGGTAATCATTCTACCAAATACTCAATTTATAACCGTAAAAATAATTGATTTAATATTTCATTTTTTTCGATGAAAAAAATATTAAATTTAAATTTTATTGATGATGATTTATTAAGTCATTTTAAATGTATAATTTATAATTATTTATAATTATTAAATATGATATATTTTATTTTGATATAAATAATTAAATAATTTATCTATTAAAATTTTTTTAACTAAAAAAACTCAATTTATACAATTAATAAAATAGATTAAATCCAACATTTTCGTACAATTAATTTATCACTTTTGAAATAAAAATCTTAGGGCCTCGTGTTTAATGACATTTGTCTCCAAGCTGCCAAAAAAACAAAAGTAATCAAATAATATTGTCTACCTTATCTGCACATTGATGTTGGGCAGGTTGAGCTACAGACAAAGGCAGCTTTATGTTTTTTAATGCACTGATTATATATATTCATTTTTTTTATAAAGATTTAAATATTTCAAGGATATTTTCAAGTCTATTAGATCTCATCCATTAAAATAAATTAAATAATTGACTAAAATGCTTGGGCCTTTCAATAATTAATTTAAAAAATTTTAAGTATTGAAGATTTTTAATGAAAATTTTGAATATTAAAAATAAAAATAGTGAAAAACAAAGAATTCAATGAGATTAATTCGGTTGATTAAAAAAAAAAAACTCTCATTTTTTATTAATTGTGGTTTGATTTATGTGAGAAATATTGTTTGCAGTATAATTTTGAATGTATTAAATTTATATAAAAGGGCGTGCCTTTAAAATTATAAAAAAAAAAAATTCAAATAAAATTTGAAATATTTCCTTAAAAAAAAATTAAAATTAAAGACAAGTTAAAGCTGTGAATTGTTCACGGATTTGTATGATAAAGAAGTGATCACGAGCCAATGCGAGTTTAATAATAAAAAAAAGTACAAACTTCACACAATTGATATGGTGTATGATAGATATGAAGCGACCTTTTAGAGGTGAGGAGCAAAGGAGGAAAATATCATAGCATTTGATTTTATACAATAATATAAAAAAATTACATACATATATTTTCATATATTTATAAAAATATTAAATTAAATAAAATTATAAATAATAAAGTTAATATTAATAACAAAATCAAAATAATTATTTTAAAATATTGAATTTTTGAATTATAAATAATAAAAATCAATTTATTAAATTAATTATTTATTTATTTTTATTCTGGTAACTTTTTAAAAATAATTTAATAAATTTCATTGATACACAATTGTATTACTCTTTAGCAAATATATATTTTTATAAATTTTTTATATGAATAAAGATGAAAACATAGATATATATAATAAAAAGAAAAAATATTAATTATATTTTAACTATTCATTTATAATTTGTTATACTTTAATAGTAAAATTAAAATTTTAAAATACTAATATATTTTTAAAAAATTCCATGTAAAAAAAAAACACAACACTAAAATGAAGATATTTAGTAAAATAAGACAAATGATGCCTTATTTAATTTTTATTACAAACACACCCCAGATATAACCATTATTATTTTATTGAAGACAAGATGACAAATTAAGTTTAATTTATGTTTTGGGGGAATATTTGTCATCTAATTAATTTTTAATCTTCGATAAATTTTGTTGTTTCACATGACTAATATATATATGTTAAAGTAATGAAGAATCTTATGTTGAGAATCAGGAAATTAAATCTTTAATTATAAATCACGGACATTATTTGGATCAGGTTTTGGGGAATATATGACAAAATATTTTTTTTATCAAATTAAATAAGAACAAAGTGTTTTTGATTGTCTAAAATAATATAGCGGCGTTTCGTCATCATCCGGTAAAGAATAAGAAATGCTTCTTTTAACAAACCGATGCTTGAGAAGTGATTTTTTTTTTTTTTTTGAAATTTTATAATATCTTAGTTTTATTTTAAAAAAATTAAAACATCTTGGATGTAGAACAATGAGTAAATGAAAAAGCACCGACTGGTAGTCACATGACTATGTTTGATGATAGTCTGCATATATAGTATAAAATATTAAAATTTATATATTTATATAATATTTTATATAAAAATTACTTATCATAATTTATATCAATATAAAAATATAAAATATATATTTTTTAATTTTATTAAATTTATATATAATTATTATTAAAATTTTAAATTGTATAACCTTTTATTTTTGCTTTTTAATAACTAATAAGTACCCTAGAATGGACTATACTAATCTAAGTAACCCTAGAGTGAACCATTGAAGGCACACAAGCTGGTTAATTGTATCCTCTTCGAACCAAGGTTAAACATTACGTTGGAATAGAGCTCTAAAGCCATTACTTCAGGTTTTATTGAGCTTCAAATTAAGTTCTTAGGATTAGAAACGGTAAATGATTAGATGATAATGTTTCATAGAATAAGGTGGCATCAGGAAGTTGAAAGCACATGGCAATGAATTTGGAAACCATGAGTCTTACTTATCGAAATGCTTTTACATTGCAAAGCATGTTACAAAGAAACAAAAGGACCTTAACTTCCTTTATTGACATATTGCTACAGTTCAAAAAGCTCAGCCAATACACGGCTTAAATCAAGGCATTGATAGGATTAAAGCAAAAAAAGAAAAAAGAAAAGAAGTGAACTAAGACTGAAATCCACACTACTCACTTCTTCTGCAGCATTGCGCTGCATTGTGCCATTATTTTTGATGCCCTAGTAATGGAATTAGTCATGTAGAAATTATCAACAGCAGCCTTGAATGGTGTCAAGTTTAGCTCTCGAGTACAGTCAGGACTCAACCCAGGTCCAAATGCAGCCGGCTCTATCTCATCCATGCGCAGTAGGTTTGGTGCTACAGTCCTCATCCTGGAGCGTATGCCTCCTAGTGTATCGTAAGGTAGACGAATTCCTGCAACCTCGGAGAGTGCTCGAATGATCTTCCAATCATCCCTAGCATCACCAACTGTAGGGACTGCAGGCAATGTTTGCTGAGTGCACCCTTCTGTATTTTCATATGTACCCTCCTTCTCACTGAATGCTGCTGAAGGAAGAATCACATTGGCACGATAGACACTGCGGTCCCCATGATGGCCCTGATACACCACAAAAGCATCTGCCGGAACTTTATCCAAGTTCATGTCATCAGCTCCCATTAAATACAAGAACTTTGCTGACTCGATGCTGTTGCTGGATTCTGGCACAAGTCCAAGGTCAAGGGCTGCAGCCTGGGCAGCATTAAGAAGTAAAACATTGAATCCATTCCAGTCGGGCCTGACGACATTCCCATTATTTGCAATGGCTTCAACAGCAGAAAAAATTGCATCTTTGTCTGTCCTCTCAAACAGGCCAGCACCAACAATGATGGCTGGGTTTTTGGCATTTAAGATGGCTGAACAAAAAGAATGACGACCCTCAGCAATCTCAAAGAGTGTTTGTGGGCCAGTGCCAAGATGCTGATAATCATAGTTGAAGTCTGTTGGAGGACCAATGTAGCCAACCTTAGCATTTGATGCCCGAACCGCCTTACGGATTCTGGCATTTACCATAGCAGCTTCAACCCTTGGCTGAAAATTAACATCAAATTATATGATTATTATACTTTATACTTGCTATATTCTAAAACTCTTTCACTTTACGGATTCTGGCATAAATATTACTAACACCCTTTTACTTTCACAAAATAATGTTATTTAAATCTCAATATTATATAAATAGAACGATATTTTTTCCTTTAACCTACACAACTATTTTTTCACACAGCAACGCACAAAGCATGTCGCTTGTTGTGTAACTATTTCTGTACTTCAAAAGCTCACATGCAAACAAAAGTAAAAGATTACACTGACCTCAACATATACAGTTAATTCACACAAAAGACACTTACAATTAAAGACTACACAAATAATTCAGAGAATGAAGCGACAGTATCCATCCAAAAATATTCATTCAATTTAGAAGAAAAATGTAACACCTATCCTGAGATGGATTCAGATAAGTAATTGCTAACTATGCACAATGACTGTGGATAAAACACATTGTGACATTCAGCAAGAGAACAGGCAAAAGGTATACAATATAAGAATTAGGGTTGCTAGAACATTACCTGGGTACCAACCAAAAGGAATACATCTGCCTTCTCAAGACCAGCAATACTGCTATTCATAAGATATCTGTATCTTAGATCAGCATTAGGGCTTGTGCCAGTTCCTTCGCACCACACATTGTTTGATCCCATGTTGTTTAACAAATCTTTCAGTGCCATCATGGATTCAGCATCAGAAAGTTGACCAGCAATCCCAACAATTTCCTCTGGTTTAACCTGAAGGGCAACCTCAGCAACAACAGCCAATGCATCGCGCCAGCTCACAGCCTTAAAGCGCCCATCAGCACCACGAATCATGGGGTCATTTAGCCTCTGTCTCTTCAATCCATCATAAAAGAAGCGAGTCTTATCTGATATCCATTCTTCATTTATATCCTGCAAAGGTCATTGAACCAGGGAAAAGGTACTTATCTTGTCAAACAGATCAACACTCTGGCTATTAGCAGAAGAAATTAAGGGTTTTTTTTTTTTTTTTTGCTAAATCTAACTTGGGGAGGCAAACATAACATTACAATCCATTTTCTTTTATCTTTTCTCTTTTTTTTGTATCGATAGTTAGAAACATTTCAATGACTCAAGCATGTTAATTAAGATAAAAAAGAAAGTACCAGTTGGAAAATATAATCAACTTTTAAAGAATAAGTTTCCTCCAAAATATAAACATTGAAGCTTGAGTATTTATGATAAGAAAATTTAGTTATTTCCAATCCTTGTATAAAATGATAACATAAAATGTATTGTTCCATATGCCACAATAACCACAATGTCAGTTTAATGCTAATATAAACCCATCTTAAGTTATTTGTCACATCTCCTCAAGAACTAATATAGAGGCTGCTTATCTCATAACAGAAACAACACAGGTCTATGAGTTACTGAGGTGATAAGATCAAAACAATTTAAGACTAGCACAAAAGCAGTCCACAGATATTATTTCGTTGCCCGATGGGCCTCAGACAAAAGATTCTTAAAAATGAGTGTACTATAAGCATCTTATGACAGTTTACACTTTACCTCATTTAAACGAGGAAGGATACGCATAACCTCAGGACCTCTGCTATCAATCCGAATGTTGGATCCAACCGCATCACTTACATCAATGGTCTCTGTTCCTTTCAACTCCCAGTTTCGGGCCTTGAATGCGAAGGGTTTAGAGGTAAGGGCTCCAACAGGACAGATATCTATTACATTTCCAGAAAGTTCACTTGTCATAAGCTTTTCAACATAAGTTCCAATTTCTTCTCCACTACCACGACCTAACATGCCAAGATCCTGAACTCCAGCAACTTCTGTTGCAAACCTGACACACCTGATGAGACCATAAAAAAGTTATTTGCCTCAAACTCAGACCTTCGGGTCATAGAACAACAAGAATGTTGCTTATAGATATTTCTCAAATGAAAAAAATCCTCAAAAGATCACAAAGCTTTGGCCCAAAAACTGCTTAAAGAAGAAGATGCAAATTTTGGCTTGAAACTCAAATAGAAAAGAGCACTAAGAGGCCAGAGATTTTACATAAACTTGGAAAATCTATTTATGAATCATAGAGTAGAGTCCAAACAAAACTTCATTTAGGCATAATTAAGGTGTTTCCCACAAAAAAACATCATTAAGCATTTCCAGGTGACGTCCCTATCAAAGGCATAATTTTTGTGAGCAAAGCTTTAGAACTTGGACTGAGTTGTGTAAACGTTGAAGAACCCCATCAGTCTAATGTAATGAAGCAAAACAAAATTTCAAGCTGCAAATTATATAGGCCAACTTAATCACAATCTGATATAAACCATTCCAAGTGTAGGAAAACACATGATTCAAAAGGTGCTGGACATATCAACCAGCAATATCAGCAATACTTGAGACAATGACCCAACTATTCATTCTAAAGTGGATTTAGCGCAATATACATTCTCAATGTAGCAACAAATGCCTAAAATTAAGAATGCTCAATGTATTTGGTTACTTAGAATAAAATCTTAAAGTGGATGCAGTCACCAGTTGGATTTCAACTCTTCAATTTTATAGCCAGCTTAAAATCTGAAGAAAAAAAAAGTAAAGCCAGTGGGGATATTGTTTGGATAATTTCTGACCTTGTACACTGAATGCACCGAGTCATGACAGTCTTTACCAAAGGACCAAGATTCTTGTCAACAACAGATCTCTTCATTTCAGTAAAACGGCCACGATCAGATCCAAATGCCATAGACTGATCCTGGAGATCACATTCTCCACCCTGATCACAGATTGGACAATCCAGGGGATGGTTCATCAACAAAAATTCCATCACTCCTTCACGTGCCTTCTTTGCCAATGGTGTATCCGTCTTAATCTTCATTCCTATATTACAGTCCCAGTAATAATTAAAGACCATAATCAAAAAAGAAAAAGAACAAAGTATTCAAAAATTCCAGAGCCAAATCAGCAAATAACAAAAAAGAGACCTTTAGAGCGGGAGCAGCATAACTCCTAACGGTTAAATTGTTTAAAATGACGAGCACTTTTGCCTTGAAAGAGCAACGTCATACAAGAATTATTAGGATTCCAAGCGAAACTAAAAAGAAATTAATAAAAATAAACATATTTTATGAAAAAGTTTATAAAAGAAACAAAATAATTGGTTCAAAGAGTAACGAATCATAACGTTGTATCTTCCTTAAAACTAAACAAAACAAATAGCAGCATTAAAAATATAAAGAACATTGAAGCAAATGAAATATTATAGAATTAATTTGAGAACCCTAATCCAAATCATCAAATACAACTAAAATCTGTCACGAATCAGTATTAAAAAATAAAATTCGTTCATCCAAACAAATGAATAAATTAAGCAAAAATACAAAAAAAGGACAATGAAATCGAAAGGCTAACCGGGGAGGGCCGGCATGGCGCAAGAGGCGACGGGCTTGGGGGATTTTTCAACCTCGACAAGGCACATACGACAATTCCCAGCGATCGAGAGTCGGCTATGATAGCAAAACCTAGGAATGTCAACTCCAGCGATCTCGCAGGCCTGAAGAACAGTCATGCCCTTAGGGATTTTCACCGGAAACCCATCGACGAACACCTCGATGGCATCATCCGGGTTAGTGAAGTGGACCCGCGCACCGCCCACAGGTTTCTTTGGTGGAGGCGGAGTAGGCTCTGGCTGCGGTGCTGCTGCAGTCGCTGAGGCATCGGGGGATTGGAGCTCGGGTTTGGTGACGATGGGTCGGAATCTACCATATTGAGAAGAGATGACTCTTGAGGTTTTTAGGTATCTTGAAGCTAACACGCCTAAACCCATTTTTTTGGTACCAGGCCTCTATAAAGAGATCGCTTAGCTTCCCTTGTTGGAGCTGCAAAGAGTGGAGAAAGACTTCGAAATGTTGGGTTTAATTGAGAGGGCCTACACCACAGAATTTTTTCTAGCGGTTTCTAAGTACAACCCAAAATGTTCTATATACATTCTATAATCTCCTTATAAAAATATACATATATCAAATACCAAATTTAACATTTAATAAATGACAAAAATACCTTCATACTTATGTACTCTCCACACCTTCTTCTTCTTTTTTCTTTTTTATCTTTTTTTTTCGTATACTAAACCCTAAATCTTTAAAACTAAAAATAAAATTTTGAAATCAAAATTTTCGAAAAGTTTAAAATTTTTTGAAAATAGATTTTCAAGAAATTCAAAGGCTTCTCGAAAATTGAAAATAGATTTACAAGAAGTTTTTAAGTTTTGAATTTCTGAGAAGCTTTAAAACTTTTTAGAAATGGATTTTCGAGAAACTTAAAGGCTTTTCGAAAATGAATTTCTGATAAGTCTTTAAGATTTTAATTTTTGAGAAACTTTAAGGTTTATCATAAATGTATTTTTGAAAATTTTTAAGGTTTTTCAAAAATAAATATCCAAGAAGTTTTTGAGCTTTCAGAAAAGCTTTTGGATTTTCAAAAGATTTTAAGACTTATCAAAAATCCATTTTCGAAAAACCTTTAAGTTTTTCCAAAATCCATTTAGGAGAAACTTGATTTTATCTAAATTTTATCATAAATCTTAACTTATATTTACATGTATTTTAACCACTATTTCAACAAAATAAATCGAAAACAAGTCAGAAATCTTATATCTAATCAGTGTAAAACTAAAAAACGTAGGTGATTTTAGGTAAGTTTGATGGATTTAGGGTTTTCTTTGCATTGAAAATAAAGAAATAAGTGAAAAGAATGAAAGAGTGATAGGATAGGAAGGAAAAATAGAAAAATGAAGTGTTTGGTGTATTTAGTAGAAATAGAAAATTTATGTTTGAATTTGGAGCGTATTTAGTAGTGGGGTTTATAGAGCAAAACTTTGGATGCAAATAGAATTCTCGTTTTCTCTGTATAATCTTAAAATTTTCTTTAAAAAAATTCTTATAATAAATACCAATTTTAACTTTTAACAAATAACAAAAACACCCTCAAAAGCTTATATACCCTAAAACCACCATCGTAAATCTTGAAAATTGACTTTTGAGAATGTAATATTGTCAAAAACCATTTTTCAATACTTATATTGCGTTCTCAAAAATAGTTTTTGAAAGTCATCTTGTATTATAAGAAATCCATTTTCGAAACTACATAAATTTGTATTTAAATATATATTTAATTATAAACTCTTATAATGTTTAATTTTAATTTAAATAAAATAAATACATTTAATCTTGAAATATATAATATTAAAATAAATTAATCTCTTTATCAATGTTTGACACAAGAAAATCAGATTTGTTAGCATTTCCAAATGTCTCTAATTATATCTCTGAGATATGGCTCAATTTCGTACATAAAAGGCCTCTAATCTTTAGGCCATTAACAATGTCATCAGTAGACTAGCAAATCTAACAATAAAGACTGGTGGTCAAATGATTGGAGATCTTTATTATCATATTTGCCAGTCTATTATAACATTGTTAGAGTCAATATTCTATAGGGAATTCAAGCTCAAATTAGCATGCATGCACATACATAAGTCATTAATGTACCTACTCTTACTTGATCATATGTATGAATAGAAAAGACATGTTAATTCTCAAGCATGCATAGGTATAAAAGGTGTAGGTGTTTTTGTTTTATCACTAGAAAATGGTGTTATCGATTGTCTGAAAGCTTGAGAAAAAAAACAAGTTTGTGCCATTTATGTTGAGAATATCAATTTCAACTCCATTCATATGTATGATCAAGTAAATGTGTTCATATGTATATGATTAAGGTTTTTAGTAATTAAAAGTGAAATCCAGCTTTTTGAAAATAAATACTTTAGAAAGCTCAAAGGTTTTCGGAATTCATTTCAGAGAAGACTCAAGGTTTTCCAAAAATGGATATCCAAAAAGTTTTGAGTCTTATCTATTTTTGAGAATCTTTGAGGCTTCTCGAAAATGGATATATGAGAATTTTTAAAGCTTTTCAAATATTTATTTTTGAAAAATCTCAAAATTTGCCAGATATTCATTTTTGAAAAACTCAATTTCAGGAAGTGAACAGATAAGAAAAAAGAAAGGTTAAGAATGGAAAATAGTAAGTGAGGGATGAGGGTGTATTTAATAAAAATATAAAATTAAATTTTTGAATTTGAGATGTATTTAGAAATAAAGTGTATGAGTAAAAAGAGGGTTGTAAATAGAATTCCCTTTAATTGAAATGATAGGCGTGTGATTCCCACAAGTTGGGTTTCAAGTTGACCCATATTTGTTTCCAAGGTCTAGTTATAGGCTTTATACAGTGCCATTTTGGAATTATTAATTTACCTCAAGAATGACTAAGGTTTCATTTGCTTTGCAAAAATTAACTTTAAGGAAATGTTTTCTAGAAGATGTTTACATTTTTTAAAAAGTATAGATTTTTTATTATTTAGATGAGTTAATTAATAATGTTTTCAGTTGTTTGGTTATTTTCTAGAAAATTTGTTTCTTTTTTCATATAATATGAATATAACTATTAAAATATTAAAAATTATTTATTATTAAAGCATATTGAAATTATTTATTATAAAATTATTAATATACTAGAATAATTATATTTTAATAATAATATTTAATATTAAACTACTATATCAATATAAAAATAATTAAAACAAAACTGTTTATTATTCTTTTTATTAATATTTTAAAATATTTAAAATAGTATTAATATTCTTAAAATATTATTTTCATTAATATTAAAATCATAATATGTATTATTAAAATATTTATATTTTATATTAAAAGTATCTATTCTTAAATCATAACAAAATATTTTTTATTTATATTTATTATTAAAATAATAATATAAACTCCTTGATAAAAAAATTATATACTTGTATATTTTAAACTAAAAATAATAAGAAATTATTAAAAATATTCATATTAAGAAAATAATATTATTATATTATTTAACATTAATTATTAAAATAACAAAATATTATTATATATGTTATTATTTATTATTAAAATAATAATCTCATACTATTTATTATTGAAATATTAAAAATATTTATGTTTAATAATATACAAAATTAAAATATCAAAAGACTTTTAATGTCAATATTTTAAAATTTCAATCAAAATTAAATAAAATATTTTTATTAATATAATAACTTCCAAATCGAATCAAATCAAGTTTAAGTTTAAAATGTTATGTTTAAAATTTTACTTGAATAAAACTATAAGAATTTTTAAAATTAAAATATTAAAAGACTTTTAATATTAATATTTTAATTTTTTTAAGTAAAATTAAATAACAATATTATTTATTAAATATAATAATATTTTAAATATGGTCAAATTAAGTTTTAGCTTAAAAAATTATGTATAAGGTTTTATTTAAATAAAATTATACTTAGACAAAGCGATAAGTAGTTATACTTATACATAATTCTTTTTCGAAAATTGTTTTTCTCTTTATAAATGGTAAGACAATTTTTAGAAAATTTTTCTCATTTTTCATTGACTAGATAATTATTTTTCATTGACCAGTTAGTTTTATGTCATTTTTTGCAAAACAAACAAAACCTAAAACACCTTATTTTTTTTCTCTCTACACCTAACTTTTCTTTAAAAAAACTTTTTGTAAGTGAAATGATATAAATAAATATTTTTAAACAAATTTTCGTATATCCATAATTTCCAAGAAGCCAACATTTCTAAAATTGAAATTTTATGAAAAATTACAAAAAAATTTTAATAAAATTATTTATAAATTAGTGTAATAAAAAATTGTTATTAAAAATTTATAAAATTTAAAATTAATAAAAAGTTTACTTTTATCATTTTAATTTTTAAAAAATAAAATCTTACGAGGTCCTAATTAAATATTTTATCTTATGATATTATAAAAAATAATGAAAGAACTATCATGTCTGATCAATATATAAGAGCTGAAATGTCTTAAAATTATATAAGTAATACTATTAAGTATTATATAAATTTGTCAAAATCTAATATGGTAATTAGAAAAATCCATCATGATAAATAAAAGGATAAGCTTCTCTAAAAAAATTAATTTAATTAAAACTCTTATAAAATTTTAATAATTGATACAAAAAATATTTATTAAAAATTTATACATTTAAAATTATAAAAAAAAACATATTTGCTATTTTATTTTTAATTTAATTTGGGTCTCATAAGATATTGTTCTTTTCTAAGATAAAAATAGTAAAAGCAATTTTTTTATTAATTTTAAAATTTATAATTTTTTTAATAATAGCTTATTTTATTACTTATATTTATAAATAATTTTAAGGAAATTTCTTTTTTTTTTTTCATAAATTTGATTGTAGCTTTTTGAAAATGAATTTTCAAAAGTTATAAAACTTGTGAGAATGATATCTAAGTAATTTAACTTATAAAAAAATAAAAAATGAGATGTATTAAAAAAACTTAGGATGTATTTAAAAGTAAATAGCAAGCGTAATCCTTAAATTTTGGGTTAAATTTTATATTGATATTTAAACTTTAAAAAATTTTAATTAGGTCCTTAATTACCCAAATGTTAATCAATATAGTCCTTACGTCTATTGAATCATCTAAATTGATGAAAAATCCAGTGTGGTATGACAAAAATTTAGTGTGGCATGATACATAACTTTACAAAGTTATATTACATGTAAGGTTAATATTCTGTCATTGATTTTAAGCATAAGAATTTTTTGCCAAAGAAAGAATTAAACAATTGGAGAGATAAACAACAAGTTGTCAATGGCAAATCCAATTAAGCACACATTAAGCAATACATAAGGGACGTAATTCGACAAAAGACATTCAAGCGATTCAATAGCAAATTCAATCAACCTCTAAACAGAAAATCTATCAAACCCATACTAAAAAACCCACTATAAATCACTAATAAAAAAACCACCACCCAATAAAATCAATAATCTCTAATTTAGCATAACACTAGTAGGCAAACCCAAAATCATCCATATTTGCAACGCTCAAGTAACTACACCTAATAATTGACCATAAGCTAAATCAATTTGTAGAAAATTAAGAGCTTTAACCTAGAAAAAAAAAACCCACTAAGATTAAACAAAACCTGAACATAGGAAAAATGGTATTGTAAAAGAAGAGTCTGGCATCAAAATTAATGTGGTGGTTTTGTTTGGGTTTTCCAAACAAAAAAAGAATGGCCAAATTCACTAAGATTTGGGTTGTAGTTGAGTCTCAGTCAATGAAGAAAAAATGGATTCGAAATAAGTTTTTAGCATAAGCATAGAGATTGACAATGGTTACTATCGAGATCGACGATTGACAATTGAAGTGGTGATAGTCATTGGCTTTTAGGTTAATACTATTAATATGGATTAGATTTGAAGAAAAGATAATTTAAAGAGAGGTTAGACAAGAAAGAGAAGCTTAGAATGAAAACTATAAGCTATTAACTTGGAGTTTTTTACTCCATACAAACAGTGCCGTTTGGGGCTAAAAAGAAGGAATTTCACTCATTCAACCAACGTGAAAAGCCCACAATACACCTGTCTTTGATTGTAAGGTTATATGTCATTTCATGCTAGATTTTTCATCAATTTTAGACAATACATCTAACGAAAGGATTATATTAATACGTATTTGAATAATTGAAAACTCAATTAAAACTTTTAAAATGTAGGGACTAATATAAAATTTGATGCAAAATTAAAGAATTACGCATATTAATGGCTCTATATTAAATTTTCTCATTTGCCTTGCCTTTACAAATCAAAAAAGATTTTTATTTACACCAAAAGATTAAATTGAACCTGATGTTTTTAATTTTTAATAATATGGTTAGATTGTGTACAAATAGACCAATTGAGTCTAATATTTTTTTTTTTTGATTCTTTAGATAATATAATCAAGAATATCATCAAGTCATTTATATTATATAATTTTAAAATTTATCAATATTTTTAATTTAAAATTTTGTTATAAATAATTTTTTTAAATAAAAGACTTTTGCAGGTATCAATTTAGTTAATTAATATATTAATATAGTGGCAAAAAATTTTGTATAATTTGAAGGCCCAATTATGATTAAAAATTTAAAATAAGATTGTAGTAATATTTTTAGATTGTATCGCATTTATCATAATTGTAAATATAATAAATAAAATAGCAATATTTGTATTTATCCAAGTGAATATTTTTAAAATTTTTATTATTTATCATAAATTGAAGAAAAAAAAATTGATTATAATAATATTTATTTATAATATTTAAATTAATTTATGATATTTTAATTTTAATATCTTATGGTCATAATTTTTTGTTATATTACTATTTACAAATGTAATATATTGTTATTTATAAACATGATAATTTGAAATGTCAGTGATATGATACAAAAAAAAATACGAAGATAACATGATTTAAAATTAAAAAATTTATAAATAAATTTAATAAAATAAATTTTTTTATATTTTTATATAAATATAAATAGTAATACATAATTTTTTTATAAAATATAATAAAATTATAATATTTTGTAAGATTCAATAATAACATAATTGTCAGATTTAACGATTTGTGAGTTTAATAATTCACGCCTTCATTGAAATGAATAAAGCCGCGGAGAGTGATGCAATTGCTATAGAGATGCTATTTAAATCATGATTACAACAAATACAAACTCCATTTCTTTATTTAACTCCTCGTTCAAGCTAAACCCTACACATATACAGCCTAAAACCCTAAGCCGCGGACACTGAAGATTCAAAAAATTAAAAAATGGAGAAGCTCAAGTGCTTGGCGTTGGTAGGAGGTGGAGCTCTTGTCGGTGCTGTTTCTACCTTGTTTCTTCTTAAGCTTCGTCCAAGGCAAGTGAAATTCAATTTATTTCCATTCTCGTTGATCGGGTTTTCTTCTTTTTCCATTTGATTGAAGATTTTTCAATAATACATAATCTTATATTTTCCCATGAAAATATTCATTACTCTTTGTTAGTCGACAGTCGACACCCATGTTCACTATGGCTCTGATTTCTTTTCATCTTGGGTCTGAATTTTTTTTTAATCAGCTGTAATGATGTACTTAATTGGTTTTTAATTGCCCAGAGAATTTAAATTATGAATTTTAAACCAATGTTTCGATTAATTTTGATTTCCTAAATGACTTATTTCCTTAGTAATGTTTGTCTGTGATGGTAGTTGATTGAATTTTCTGTGTTTTGCAGAAAGATTGAAAGTCAGTGTGGTAAAAAGGCCACCAAATTGAATGGTAATGTCTGTTTTATTTACTTAGTACTTTTCTTGTTAAACCCATCCTTGCCGAGCAAAGGTCTGAAAGACAAAACTTTGCTCTTGTATTGTCTCATTTGATGGATCTCTACGTGCTTTACTTTATTTACACCTTGTAACGCTACAAACATGATCACTCTGCAATATATTACTATTTAGCTTAAAATGATAGCTGCTAGAGAAATCAATATCTGCACGATTGTTCTCGTAAATGTGATTAAGTTAGACTAATGCTTAGTTATTGAATTTGACATTTAAAGAAACTGTAATTGTTTAACAAACATTTTAAAACAGGATTTTGGACTGTCCTGTTTGATAAAGAGGCAACGTGAAAATATATTAGCATTATTTTAATAATAACCTTTTATTGATTTAGTTAATATGAGCACAAGATATCGGTGGTAGACATACAAATTTTCATTGCATGATCACTTAAAATTGAAAAGCATGGTAGTCTGATTTATTTCCTTATAAAAATTCATGAGATCCAATACAATCTGAAAGCTATTTTAGGCTAAAGAGGAAACTCAAGCTGTAACTTTTTTGCGTAAACTTAATTTGAATTGTCAGACTTGTTGGTTAGAGTAACCTTGACATCTCTTAATGTGTTTCTTGATATAGATAATCCTCCGCTTTATTTGGTTCATCAAAGTGATTGTTATAGACTATATTATACATATTGATAAAGACCTATATCCAATTTAACTTCTTTATTATTTTTATTTTTTTAAAAATCTGTTGGCTGGTTCACATAAAGAGGGGTAAATCTGACTTTCCCCAATTTAACCATTTTGTTAAATAAAGAGGGTCAAATCCATAGTTACCATGAATGCGGTATGTCTTGATTCATCTTACCCTACCCATCCTGACCAAAAGCCCATTCGAGCCAAGTCAACTTTATACTTCGACCCTAACTATAAAATCGTTTTCTCTGTCTCCTTCTCCAACCAACACAGGAGCACTAAAACCAACCCTAAATATATTAAATTGTTTGATTGTGTGGTACGGTTGTTAAAAGTAATGAGACGCAGAAATTATTTTAACCCTTGGTGTTCAATGCTCTAATTGACATACATCATGTCCAAATGGATAAACCTGCTAGAATTTGATAGAGAGTGCTTTTCTAAATATTTAATGTCATATGCTGCTCAAATTTGAACTCTTTCCTATTATATTAAGTTTTTTGTATGATATTAGAAAATTGTTGCAAATTTTATTGTTCCGTGGTTTTTATTGTTATTTCTGGAATTGAAATTGCATCAGAGGCAACTGCCAAATGCTGGATTGATTCTGGAAACGGGAATTGTGGAACGGGGGGCTTGAATCTTCTATCAGATGAAATCGTTTCTGAACAACTGACTAGGTACATCTTTTTTTATCAAATTGTCTTTGGTTGCACTATATTTTCAAAGTTTACCTTTGTTATGTGTTTAAAATGCTACATGAGAATTGTGGTTTTCTTTCTTTATCATCCTCAATATCGTAGGCATTGTTTTCACTAAATCTACTAATCTCACTCGTCAAGGTTAGCTAGAAAGTCAAAGTTGAGAGTATTGGTTTTTTTGTGTATGTGTAACATGTAGTGTACTCTCTCTTTCTGGACGTATAAAAACTGTTTAGCACAATGATATTAATTATGCTATCTATGAAACTTGTTATGACAAAGATTTAGATGTGGGTGATTAACTTGGCTAAATTTCCAAAATTGGGAGGACTTCAGGGTCATTTTTCAAACACTATGAGATTTCCAAACAACACACTGCACAATGAGCAGAAACCTAGGTAATATGCAAATGTCTACATTTGGGGGGTGTAAGCGAACCAATATGTTTGTTGAACAACTCATCACGAGTACAATTTAAGCTTGTTTATTTGTGCTTATTACTTAAATAAACTGAGGTTTGAACACATTTAATAACTGAACCAAGCTTGAACATAGCTGAGCTTGGCTTGTTTATGTTCGTGATAGCTCCTTTATATTTTTTGTATTTGTTTTTTTTTACATTTTAGATTTATATGCATTTTTTTTAAAAATTTTTTTTGATATTTTCTAGAATTTTTGTTTGTTGTGATCATTGAGGTTGCAAAACCCACAATCTCTTAAAATTATGGCTAGACCTGAAATGTTGTGGGCCATTTGATCTTAATGACTAATTTATAACCTGTGGATTCAGGTTTTTAAACCCATTTTAAAGCTTAAATGTCTTGGCTGTGGCTTTCTTGCTTTCTCTTTCTCGATGGCGCTTCCAACCTCTCTCACCCTCATTCTTCTCTCTTATCGTTCTTCCTTTCTAGTAACTCAAACCTCTATACACACACAGACACACCTCTATTTTATTTTCCCCATGCTTGATTTATTCGTCTTTTACAATATTTTTCTCACGTTTTTTTTTTTCCTATTTCTGCCCAATCCTTGGCCTCAAGATTCTTCTCATTTGCTCTTCAAGACTGTCAAGTCCTCTATTCCCATCTTTCAAGCTTTCCTTTCACTCTCCAAGTTATTTTCTAGCTCAAATCCAGGCAATACATTTTGTTTTTCAATTTTTTTATTACAATCTCCATTCTCTGATTTATTTTTTGGGTAATTGGTATAATCTAAATAATCCGTTTTGATTTCATTGAGAGTGTTATGTTGTTTGGAATAAATTTGTGAATTTTGTTGTCTGCAAGGAATTTGGAACTTGCTGATTTTGTTCAACACAAATGAGCTCAACCTTATACAATCTGGTATTGAGTTGAGCTCGACAAAGCTCAACAAAGCATTGATATTTAACTTGAGCTCAGGCTCATGTCCAAGTAAACCAAGCCGAGTCCAAGGAGAGCCAAGATAGGTTCATTTTGAGAAAATTGATCTTGAAATTGATTGAATATGCTGATGTTATGAGATGATTAGGGCTACTTTTGCATTCAAAACTTTGTTAGAGACATTGCAATGTTATTATAAGACTGGTTTAGCCAACCCACAAATTTGAAGCAAAATTAGGAGTTTTTTGGGTAAGTTTTATCGAAGATTTTATGGTTTGACAAAATAGTTTTGAGGAAAGGTGCTCCTATTTAGCCTTTTTTGCTCACTCTTCTTATATTTCTTTTAGTTAATACTTTGCAAGTGCACTGCCATTTGGTTTTTTGGACGTATCATGCCTGATCTTTATATTGTGATGGATATAATCATTCTAATGGTGAAAATTGAGAACACTTGATTTACTGTTCAATTTCTTAGACTATTGTTCTGAACTACATGGATTGGTCAATAATCACGTGTAACTTGCCCATTGTGGAATTTAAGAGTACTTAACCATCCTTCAACATATTGAGGGAATAAGTGAACATGTCTTTTTCTTTGTTGTATGTTACTAGGAACATTCAGTTCTTTGGTCTTGACTCTCAACAAAAGGTTACAGCATCCTATATTGTCATCATTGGTCTTGGAGGTGTTGGAAGTCATGCTGCCTCTATGCTTTTGAGATCAGGAGTTGGCAAGCTCCTTTTGGTGGACTTTGACCAGGTATCTGATATGTGTCAATAATCCATTTTTAACTTATTTGGGCTTTGTTAGTATCTAGTATGTATATTTTGCATGTTCATTTAAACTTTGTATACGCAATTTGGCTTCTGTGTTGCAAGTTGTCTATCTTCTGTATTGTTTTTGTGCAACCATGTGAAAGTGTGTTGGGCATCTATAGGTTCATGACTGTCGTGCTCTTAAATTTCTGAAAGTTCTATAAAATTTAAATAATTTGGAAGACATTGTGACTTTGTTTCCTGTTGCACCAATTTTCGAAGAATTTCAACTCAAGCAGAATGGTAAAATACTAGAATCGAACTCTGATCTATTGTTGGATTATGTGAGGCCATGTTAATCGATTTAGCGTTCCCTGCAAAATTTGGCCATTTTGCATCATTAAGATCTGTCCTAATTGGTATCATTGGCTTAAAATTCCCTTCTTATTTGCATATTAATTAGGCTAATTTGTATTTGTCCTTCCATTCTTTTCTCAGAATTAATAGTTTCGTCATAGGATCCCAAGACAAGTATACCATAAAGCTTAAACAGATATAATAATGGTTAAAACTGCTTTCTAGTAGAGAATATTGGTATCATGTGCAAAAACTAACCCAGAAAATTTCATGTTAGAAAGAATCATGAACTTGCAGTTTCTATTACTTTGGTTGTAATTTAGTATATCTGTAAAATTTCACGTTCTATTTGCATATTTGAATTTAGTTTTGCAAGTATGAGGAAGGAACTGATAGCGTAAGTTGTATGGTGCAAAGCTTGTAGTTTCTTTAAAAGATTACCTGCATTAAAAATTACTTTTATAACAAATCTGTACTTATTCTTGATTATATGAGAAGGTGTCACTTTCATCATTAAATAGACATGCTGTTGCAACACGAGCAGATGTTGGTATCCCAAAAGCCGAGTGCCTCAAGAAGCATTTCTCTTCAATCTTCCCTGAGTGCCAAATAGATGCAAAGGTGCTACTCTATGATGTGTCATCTGAAGAAGAAATTCTTTCTGGCAACCCTGATTTTGTTTTGGACTGCATTGATAACATTGACACAAAGGTATCTGTCATGGCTAATGAACTTTCAGCTTTTACCTGTAGGGTATATAAGAAGTATATAACATTGCTGTCAAATATTTGCTTTTTTCCATATATATAATTCCTAATTTCTGTCTGTGGCTTGTGTTATGTTTTAATTACCTAATTTTATTTTTTTTATTTTAGTGCATTGGTAATCCATGTGCTTGTTTGAAATTGCACTCATGTAAAGTATGAGTACATAAGCAATATAAGTTTTTCAGCTAATTGTTTATAATCTGTCAGCTTATTAAACATTGTTTCTGTATTTACACAGATTGCTGTAATGGCAGAAGTTCAACCTAAGATGACTGTATTTCCATTTTTACTAGGTGGCACTTCTTGCGGCATGTGTACGCAGAGGTCTAAAGGTACTTTCTGCTACAGGAGCTGGTGCGAGAGCTGACCCAACAAGAATTCGTGTGGCTGATTTAAGAGAGTCAACAAATGATCCATTATCTAGAGCTGTAATAATTCTGCTTTGTTTCTATTTTCAGAGCCCTAGCTGGTTGTGATATTATGCCTATCTGTCTTTGTGCTTTGATTTTTGATTGGTAGCCCTCATGTTTTCTTGGTATCAAATTAATTTGTTTAATTGTTTATTTTAAACTTCTGATCCTTTCTAAAATATATGAAATGAAATCGTTGGATTTTGTTACAATGAAATGTGATGTGCTCTTGACAATCTAAATTGGTATATTTATTTTAAAATACAAAGTACATTTTATTTGGGAAGATCAATGTTTTCTTTCATATCATGCTTTGACATTAAGGTTTTGATTGGTAGGGAGAGTAGAAAATGGAAAGATAGAAAATTGGGAGAGGAGAAAACTGGAAAGATGGAAAACAGGTTAGTTTTTTTCCATTGGTGTGCTTGTAGAAAGATGGAAAAATGGATATCTTGTAAATTTGCAACACATAGCTTACACCTCTCTCATTTTCTCTCATCCAATCTTTCCAATTTAAATTATATGTTTTTGTGAGTAGGGATGGCAAATGACCATCTTTCCTTTCCTTCCTCTCACTTTTTACCAAGCATTAGAGAAAATCATTTTCTTCCCACTTTTCCAACCCCCACCCCCCCAATTCCTCCTCCCATTTTTCCTTCCTACCCAGCAAAGTCCAAATGAAATATAACTTAGAACCGTTCTTTAGATAATGGATTAAAAAATTTCATATTTTTCTGCTTCATTTTCTTTTTCCTTCGAAGACTTGTATAGCTGGAAAGATATCCTGATGTTGTAGTACAGTTCTTGTTCTCTTTTATGGTGCAGTAATTTCCACTTTCTTGGTTCCTGCCCTTGGGGTTGCTTGGGGATTCCATAACAATTTTCTTTCTATTTGAAACCTCCATAGCTTACATTCCCAAGGTCTTAATTTAAGAAAACTGAGAGGTAGGTTACAAAAAGTGTTAGATTTAGCTACAGCTTTGGAATACTAGGCAAAACTTACTTTTTAACATTTGGAATGGAGCATGATGCTTCTGTAGAAGTTGACATGGTAAGACACTGATGCATTTGGATTGAAAATAGCAAGGTAAAAAGTGTAATATAGGCGTTGGGAATTAGGGTTACCTCAAATTGATAGGACATAGGTTAGACAGTTAAATAATAAGGAATTTTGGGGATAATTAATAGGATTATTTAATGGCAGAATGATAGAAATACTGAGAAGAGTTAGAATTTATAGTTCAGTCCAATATGGTGTTTGATGTGGACGGAAAGAAGTTGCTTGAGGAATTCAATTATTTAAAGATTTTACTAATTTCTTATATTTTATGAGTTTGACTTTATTTTTTATGTAAATTTAGGATACTTTAGATTCTTTGGTTACTTTATATTAGTATTAGAGCATTAGGATCATATTTGCTATATTTAGTATGTATGAGACTTTAGGGTTTAGCTTAAACGTACTTAATTTATTTTAGTATCATTAGATTTGAATTATGGATTATTGAGGTTTCTGTATTATTATGAATTCTTGCAATTTGAAATTTTGGTATTTTGAAATTTTGATTTTGAATACACTGAAATTGTTTTGAAATTGTCAATCAATTTAACATTGGTCTGTGTGCATCTCTGGTTTTTGAATTTACACATGCTACTGCATTTTTGCAGTTGTCATTGATCTAATGATTGGAGTTTATTTTGGGTGGATGGTCGGACAGATTTCTTTTTGACTTGGACCAACTTGAATATTTTTATGCACGTGTGTGGTTATTTTGGAGATTTAGTTTTACCCTGTTTATCTATTGTATTAGGAAGACATTGTTTTAGTCATTTACTACTGTTGATCACTTAACTCCTTGTCATCCTGCTTTTAGGTGAGACACCGTTTAAGGAAAGATTATGGTATTGAGGGTGGAATTCCTGTTGTTTTCTCTTTAGAGAAACCTAAAGCTAAGCTACTTCCTTTTAGGGGACCAAGTGGTGAAGAAGACAACCCTTCAGATTATCAAGTGAGGATGCTTGCTTATTGCTTTTGTAGTTTCAAAGTACTCTGTTTAGTGCTTACTTGACATAATGCGATGGGGAAATTTCACCCAACCTGTTGCAACAGAATTTGGAATTTAAATTTTATTTGGCTAGAGCTAAAGCTTTGTTTCTTTTAGTGATTTTATTTTAACTTGCTAGTATTAGGGCCCTGGTTACTACTATCATTGGATTTATGGGTAGGAGGAAAAAGAAAATATTTTGGTTTACATTAGTATGTAACCTACATATTTAATCTAACAATTTAACTTGTTATCCTGCTGTCAGATAGTACCTGGATTTAGGGTCCGCATCATACCTGTTCTGGGTACCATCCCTGCAATTTTTGGACAGGTTATGGCCTCCTATGTTGTTACACAACTTGCAGGATTGCATGTTCAAACAGAGCCAGTGGTAAATCTAGATGTTGATCATTATCAGATGCTTCTTCAACGGCTTATGGAGCATGAGGAGTCATTGTATGGCACGGCCATGGAAGTTGAGGTAGGATTTGCCTCTACATTCTTTTTGTAAGAAATAGTGTGTTTGAGATTATTTTGCTCTTGGTGTTTGCTATCTTATGGGGTATAATAGAGTAAACTAAGTGTAAAATAAAAGTTTAAGGACATGAAGCCAGTTAACATTTTTTCTCCAATTAAAATTTTGTGGCTACCGTATTCTAATTTGCTAGATTCTAGTATGCTGAAAACTATTGGAAGCTAATTCAAATCATTTCCTTGCCTCAAGACTTGATCCACGTTGACTATAAGTAGCATCCCTAATGGCGAAGGTGCAGGCTCAATCCTGATTTTGGTAGAGAATGTTATGATCCTTATCTATTGTGTTGTCCTGTTTGTGCTGGTGTTCATATCCTTCTTTGGGAAGATTTGCCATGATAGTGATGCCGGCTTTGGGTGTGAATTCTATGACTGCTTGTACTGTTTGGTTGCTGGTGTGACTAGTAGTCTGAAATCCTTGAAGATGGCCGGAAACATATTACTCTGAGTGGTGAAGAAAATGCTACTTTTGCAGTTTTAAGTGCATCAAAGGTTGTTTAACAAACTTTCTACTTGCTATTGTTGGATTAACACCTACTCAGACCATTTGGCTGTTATAAATAGTGGCAGCCTCTGTGTCCTCGTTTGGCTGCTATTGCCTCGTGAATTTGAATTACACACTTAGTGGCATGTAACAGTCACAATAAGATGATGTGAAAATCTGCCATTGCAATAGTGTGGCATGCAACAGTCACAATAAGATGCTGTGACAATCTGCCATTGCAATAGTGGCCCATAACAGCTAAATTCTGTCATGTTTGTTTCTCTTTCTACTTTATTAGTTTTAAGAGAAATTTTCTAGAAAACAGTTGATACCGACAGACAAATAACCTTGAATCAACACTTTTTCAACAGATTACCATGAACAACCAATTTTAAGCATCAAGCAAGAGAAGAACTGAACAATTTCTAAAGAAAGAAACAATCTGATGAATAGGCCTCTAGTTTTCATCCAATTAGCCTGTCATGTGTGTCTGATTAGGCTCAATTCTTCAGACTGATTTTGAGAAACCAAAGGTAAGAATGGAGAGAAAAGATGGTCAGAGATGCCATGGAGATTCGAGCTGGCTGGCCTGAGTTTTGTCTTTCAGATGGCTTGAGAACGGGAAATTGGAAACAGCAAAAAGATTGATTGGGTGTGGTGGGTTGGTGGGGAGGTTGGGTTCTGGTTCTGGTGGGTCTTTTGGCTAGCTCTAAGCGGAATTATATTTTAAAGTTAGGTGATATGCATGTTGATTTGCAATCTCATTCTTTTTGTTCATGCATTGTATGATAAATTTTTTTTTCTCCCAGTTTGCGTTTTCCATTTCCTGCTGCTATTATCTGTAGGTTGATGTTGAGGAAGTGCGATACGTTGTTAAAGAGTTGTGGCATGGGAGAAGTGCAAGGGAGCTGTCTGCAAAAGATGTGGGGCGTGGAATGTGGCGGTCTGTTAATGAGTTGATGCTTGTTAGGTATGGTTTTCTTCATGCATGCTGTATACCTTGGAGCATCCGGCATTCACAAATTTTATTTGGCATAACTTGATAACAACATTATGCTTTTTCTGTTATTGATGATATTGATGAATTATTCTCTCATTGAATTGGATTAATTTTGTAAATGACAACTAACTTCAAAAGAATAAATTATTTCATTCAATTTCACTTAACAGTGAGACATTTTTCATTCTAATTTCATATATAATATACATGTAAATATAAATAAATCATAAATTAAACTGAAAACCAATTATTTAATCAATAAAAAAATTTAAATAGTAAATAAATACTCTTATCACATTCACAAACTGTAAATGGTGTTATTCCAAATATTTTCGAGCTTTGGAAGGAGAAAGTAGTTGTACTCCTTAATTTGTTTATTTAGCTTTTCTCTTGTTATTGCTCTCTCTACTGGTTCTTTTTTTTTTTTTTTTTATGTTGATAACTTTTATCATATGGTAAAAAGGGAAAGCAACGTTAGCGTGGGATAGTAGAAGAAAGATTTTTGGTACATAAAGGTATAGTGGGGTAGTAGAAGAAAGCTTTTTGGTATATAAACTATCTTACCATTTGTTATGTTGTTTTTTAAAGTTTGGGTGGGTCCCTTAGTAGACACAGTAATTATAAAACCTTATTTTATTTATATTTTTACATATTAAACTCTAATATTTTGCAAAGTCACTTTTGTTCTTATCAATATTTATAAAGATGTCAATATTTATTTAGTTAATTATGTCAGCTCCAGTGGCAGAAAAATACAAAGGAAATAAAAATTTCGGTCTATTTTTATAATACAATTCCAAGGGGCTTTAGGATCATCTGTCCATGTGTCCATATGGACATTGAAAGAGCCTAATAAATTTTTTGATATGTAGCCTATTTGTGAAAGCTTAAAATAACATGTGGCTGAATTTAATTGGTAATTCAACTTGTAAATTTTTGTTCTATCTATTATGTAGTGCATGAATAACATTTTAAGCTTATTTCAAAGGCAGCTGCATCAGTCTTTCTGCCATTAACTTCGCCCACGGCCATTTCGTTTGCCATGTCACTAGTCTATTTTTTGGCCATCTTTCAGTGCCAAAAGTTCAGCTCAAATGTAGCCTATTGAAGGTGTTTGAATCATCAAACTTTGTTTGTATTTTGTTATAGACTTAAAGCTCAATATCAGTTGTTTGAGCAGTGGTGGAAGTATATACATAGTTATTGTGTATGATTTCTGAACTTTGATCACTCTTTCAATATAACCTTCAGGTGATATTGGATTTACTTTTAACGAACATCTATTATTTCCTTTCAGATGGGATCAGGCGAAGGCAGCATCCATTTCAAATTTAATTCTTCTAAAATTTCAAGAGGTATTATCTTAGCAAAGCCAAAATACTTGTCTTTCTCAGTAATTTACTTCTTTTCCAAGTATTAGGTATTCTTTTAAAATCTGTATATAGATATATAAGATATTTTAGAATACTTGGTTTATTTTATATTAGTTAATATGTTAATTATGTTCCAAAGTAATAGGATTTCAATGTTATACTTCATATTCACGTTGCAATAGGGTTTCGGATTTAGTTATAATTTTAGTTTTGATTAGGTTTTGGTTGATGAAATTTGTGGTTTTCTCTGTCTATTGATTCTTTTGGATTTTCTCCCCTTGTTCTTTTGTTTCTCCTCTTGAGTTCCCCAGTTACTCCCTAACACCCCCATAAAGCACCTAATGTTTAGTTTGCTTTCATGTAGTCACTGTGGATGTGATATTAGGTCTTCCTCTTCTCCTTTGTGATGTGATATTTTCTTTGAAGGCCGATGAACATGAGCGGAGGACTCTTGACGATATCAAAGAAAAGGAACCAGAAATTTTCAGCCACGTGACATCCGTGCTGAAGCGAGCTGAGCAGGACTTTGGCTTGTAACGCGCACAATTAGATGAAGGTTAATTTCTTCATTACTTTCTCTGTACTTTCTTAGTCTCAGTGTCATACCTAATGTCTAAAAGTATGCAGAAATTTAATGTGAGGTAAAGCAATCATCTAATCATTGAACTTTACATGAATTGCATTTTAGTTTTTTTTTTTTTTCAATCAATTAACAGCTTTGACTTTAATTACTGTGTTGTTCAAGTACATATCAGTATTGTATCATGTAAACATCTATTCTTAGTTTGACTTTTTCTGCTTTGACTGTTTACTTTTCTTGAATTTTCTGTCATTTTGTTTTTGTAATCTTACCTCTCCTGACTGCCCATTTTATTTGCATTGAGTGCAGTACCGTGAATGGGGTATGATAGTCATTTTGTTCCTTTTTCTTTTAATTTTTTTTTGAAAATGAAGGCAAATTTTATCGTATTCTCAATTTTTTCTCTTCACACTTTTTTTTAAAAAAATTTTTTTAAATGAAATTACTCAATTATCCTTTCTCTTCACACCCTTTATACTTTTAAGCTTTTGGATTTATTAATTCAGAAGCTTCTAAGAGTTTTCGGATTTACAAATTTATAAGCTTTTAAAAGCTTTTTTGAAATTACATTTCTAAAAATTTTTAGAAGTTTTCGGATTCACATATTTGAAAACTTAAAAATTTTTATAAGATTTTTTCTCAATTTTTTTTTAAATTTAAATTTAACTTTTTTTTAATTTATTGGATATAAAAATCCGGTAAGTTATATAACTTATTAAAAATATATATATGAAAACTTTAAAATTAAGATGAGAAGGTTAAACAAGTAATTTGAACTTAAAAAATTTCAAAAAAAAAAAGTGAGTGTAAAGAAAAAAATAGAGTGAATTTAGAATCAGCCGAAAATGAAATTGCTTCCTGTCTATCTGATAATACAACAGCCTCTCACTCCGTCTATCAACCTTATGGCGTCATTTGCTAAACACAAAGACAGAAACAAGTTTGATCGTAGTTTGAGTTTTGTTTCTTTGGCGAAAGTTAAAGTGTTAAGAGTTTTAATCAAAATTTAGTATAATAGTAGCCTTGTTGACAAATTGATCTAATTCAATAAAAATTTTTTTTCATTTTGCTCAAATGTAATTTAAAAAAAAAAAAGAAGAAAATTTCAGAAACGTGGATTTTGCATGTTAGCATGCAGATTTGCCCTTTCACCCCTTTTCCACGGCTCTTTTATCATACAAATATTTTAATCAAAGTATTAACCAGGGATTCATCATTAAGCAACCGAGGTGCACATCTATATTTTAGGAGTTTTTCTGATATAAAAGCTTTTGACCAAAAAAAAAATTTTAATATTCTTTTTATACACGTACAATTAGGGTCAGCAATACTATTAATGTCGAATAAATTTCGATCCAATTCAATTTTATAGAATTAATTTGTTTTTTTAAAATTGAGTTTCAAGAAGAGTTAAATATTTTTTAAAAAAAATTAAGATTTAATTTTATGAAAACTCGTATTATTTTTATTTTGATTTGATATATATATATATTATTATTTATTTAATCTTATATTTATATTTAAAAATAATATTTTATATTAAGAATTAATAATTCATTAATTTCATATTGAATCAAATTGATTATGAATTTAAACATAAATGAATTAAATCAAATTAAGGTATAAAAATAATATCATATCTAATCAAATTTAAATATCAAATTTATAAAATCAAATCAAATTCGAAATAAATAAAACTTATTTCAACCTAATTCATTACCATCTTTCATAAATATAATGTATTTAATTTTAATTAATTTAATTTGATTTAAATTTTAAAGAATTTTATAAAATAGGTAATATTATTTATATTTTTACATTTTTAATTGAATAACCTTTCACTTTTACTCAAAATTAGCATGAATAAAAATCTTCAATGAATTAATTATATTTATTCCTTTCTAGATATCTAATATTCTTACCTTCTATATAGATAAGTTACAATTCGATTTACTTAAACCACTCATTTAAATACATAATAACGTTATGATTTTTTAAATTTAAATTTTAAATACATAAAAAAAAAAAAGAATAGATAGGGAAAAAGTAAAAAATTAAAAATGAATAAAAAAATCAAAGGAAAACAACAAAGAATGATTCCTCCTTACAATTGTTTTTATATTTTGAATCTATATTCAATATTTATCAACTAGGAAACAGCAGGTCATCTGAAACCAACCGGGCCAACAACCCCCCAAGAGGCTAAAAAAGAAAAGGCACACAAAAATGATTAAAAAAATCAATAATGCTTTGAGATGGTGAGAAGATTTTTGTAAACCTTCACCTTATTGTAAGGAAAAACCAAAAATAATAGATGCAGAACAATGGCTTACAATTTCATTTCAAAAGCTTTTTTAGAAAAAGAAAATCACAATAAGATCAACTAAGATATGGTAAAATGCTTTATCACGTTAAAAAGAAATGGCAAACAGATGCTCTTCCTAAAACTTGATCAGATTCTGCCTATCAGCAGGTGCTACGCACTGCCATAAGGATCGGTATGCAGTAATATTAGCTGCTTCTACTCCCAATGCAGCAAGGTTCCGCCCATACTCCTGGTAAAGGTTATACAAACGGAGCTGCATAAGATAGTCTGAGAGAGAGAGAGAGAGAAAGACAGATACTAAACAGCACAGCAGAAGAAGGATGTGATAGGCATGGCAAATACAATGATCCACAATTGTTTTCTTATAAAAATTCATTGTTGGCGGCAAGGATGGGATCAAATTTGATCCTTAATCAGAGATTAGCAACAAGGATGGGAAGTTTAATCCCCATTCCATCCCACCTTATTTGCCATTTATAGGATGAGATTCTCACCTGAATATCAAGAAATAACTGCATGCAAATTTTGTCAGTATCGGAAACATTATGATCTGATACATCTGAGCTTGCCCCAGCTCGTCTTTGTGCACCCTGCCTTATTCTTTGAAGTGAAGACTCTGTTTTCCGTGCCTGGACAAGATGATCTTGAGGTTTTATTCAAAGCATATTAAGTCAAAGGAAGACTATGAAAGGAAATTGTTTCTGATACTAACCACACTGACAAGGTCAGCAGCTAGATCATAATAGCGACAAGTTATGTCTGTTGCAGCACCTAGCAGTAGATTATTCCTAGCATCATTTGTCAAATACTTCGTAGCTCGTTCACCATCCAGGAAAGTCTGAAAGCATTAAAAATTTCAGTTTAAGATCACAAATAACATGCCATGAATGCCTATGCGAGCAGCAGACAACATACTCTGAAGATAGAATACAAACATTTTCCATGGGAAATTCAAGCCAAATCAAGCAAATATAGTCTGGACTGCATCTAAAATTGTTAAGATTTCAAAGCAAAAATATAACTTTTATCTGATAATTTATATTTCAAATTACACAATTCCCCTTGCAAGACAATAAATAACTGTCTATCACCCTCCTCCTCCCTGCTTTTATTTATTTATTTGTTTTCATCTTTAGTAATCAGTCATTCATGCACTCAACATATAACATCGAGACTAGTATGGGCCAACTCGGTTTTTCCCCCAACCTAAATTGATGCAATTCTATTGTTGCTTAAAATTCCAAGCGTGAATGAAGTATCCAGGTTGCACCACTTCAGGTGAATTGCATTTTGTGCCTAGGCACGGAAAAGGCACACTAAACTTAAGTGTCCTTTGGTTTCTTCAGTTTTTAATTTCTTTTGTCAGCTATTCTTTCAACTGTCAAAATTGGCCAGTTTCAGCTCTATTTAGAGGAATAAAAAATTAAATAATATAATTGGTGCACTACATTTTGTTCAGGATGAAGGTGAAGAAGATTTGGAGTTTTATTTGATGAAATTAGTTATGATAATTCTTGATCTTTAAAAGTTACTTCACTCGGGTGAGGGATTTTTTTGCACCTTGTGCCTCAGGTGAGGTAAGGGTCCTAGCACGTAGAGTGTGTCTTGCACCTTTGACAACACTGTATTGACCAGAACAAAGACATCTTTGCACATACTGAAACAACCATGAAGGTAGTAGTTTCCATAATAATCCACTAACAAACACTACTAAAATGGAAGAATAAATTTGAATAAGAACAAAAAATGGCCTAAGTCACAACAGTATGACATCCCACATTAATAAATTTTCATCAACCAAGGCATAGGTGAGAAGTTGAGAAAACTTAATTAGCTTCATCAAAAATAACAATCATACATCATGCATAGACAAAGATGGTACTAATATAAGCAGCTTGGCCAGAAAATTCGAGGAAAAAAATGGGCGCACTGGGGCTGTTTAATTGTAAAGCATAATCATGGAATGATGCTTAAGTAGTTGTGACTTGTGACATAGCTAGAAACTAAAAGGACATACCTTCAAAGGGCGCAATACCCCTGCCACATAGGGTGAATGCCTTACCGGAAGAGGTTTATTTGTCATCCTGTAAGTTGCAGTTATTCCCTTCAGTTGTCTCAAGTCCTGTGGAATTCAAGATAAACGAAAATAAACAAAAAATTCCAGAGTATAGTGAAAATGCAAGCAACCAAATTACAACAAAAATCATCAAACCTATCATGGTGGTTTCTACTTAGAGAATAATGCAAATAAGTGATACGCTGACATTGTAATGCTTACCTCAACAGACTTCTGAACTAGAGCCTCTTTAATTGTGTTGATAACTATGGGTAATAAATCATCCAATGATTTCCCACAGTACAAAATGCTCTGTTTTACTCGATCAAGGACTTCAGTGGAACATGAAGATAGAACCTGAAGTACATGATCCAGGTAAGCACCACCAATCTCCTTTGCCAGACAATTTATGTCATGAATAATCTGCAAGCACAAGTGTGTTCATACATATGCTGCTCAAAGTCCGCATCAACAATAATTATGGTCTACGATAGTAAAAAAATAACAATATAGTGCTCGCCTTGGAGAACTGAAAGCAGCTTGTAAGTAGAATTAAAAAAAAAAAAATACATAATAGAATGCTTTAAAGTCCTACCAACAAGGCACATAATTCAGCAGATCAAGCTTGGGAGACTAAAAATGATTAGATCTGAAGCAATTTACAACTACTTTATTTATTTTTCTACATTTTAATAATGAAATTTAGGAATATATTTGAATGTCATAAGAAAGTATAATTACCAGTTTTAATTTCTCTCTAAATCTGTCTACATTAGAAAGAATCAAGTGGATATGTGGAGAACTAATTATTTCTCTATACTTATCTCCTCAAACGTATCCAATCAAAAGTAACCATTAGTTCTTCCTCTAATTCTCTAAATTTTAAATTTCAAAAGTCAAACAGAACACCATTGATTAAACTTCTGTACATTTCAAAATGTAAGACTCAGCAAATTTAACATTTGAGAAATATAGTGAAAGAAAGACATGTGCGTACATAAACAAAATCATCTGGAGCAGCTGAAAGAGCCCATTCACATCCAGGGCTGGAGCCAGCACTACCCTTTTTTCGAGCAGCAAATCCAGATGACAACCAATTTGAGTATCTATCACACACAAAATACAGTCAAATAATCATATTTCAGCAAATCTAGACTACCCAATACAATTGGATTCAAGGTATGACCTTGAAAGCAGCTGCAAGGACAAGCGAAGAAATTTGTCGGAGCAAGAAAAGACAAGAACTTCTTCATTCCAACAGGACCTCAAGCTCTCCAAAAGGGTAACACTTTGTTTAAGTGTCAGGTTCTGAGAATTTTCTTCATCAGAATGTGAATTCTGGGCAAGAACAAGACTGGATGCTGCAAGTGCAGAATCCAGAGCACCTGCTATTTCTTGAAACCTGAGTGGTGAGCAGTTCACTTCTTAAGTAATAAGGCACAATTGCATGAGTAAAATAAACATCTAATAACTCCACTAAATACCTTAAAGAGAAATAAACACCTACGTTCCACTGCTTCATGAACTCAACATAAAAAGGTGCTGCTCGAAATTTGGCAACAGCAGCTCTGGATGGGCAATAGCCTGACAATGGAAACTTCTTTTATATCTAATAAAATGGACTAGAGTTCAGACACTTTAATTCTTTAACAATATAGCCTTTGCAAAGTTTTTAGTCTTAGATGCAAAATGAAAGGTCAGATGACTACCTTCAAGATATGCCAAGAAATCTAAGCTTGATTTGTAGTTTTTAAGAAATTCTTTAGGTCTTCCTGGAGAAAAAGCACCAGGTTTTCCCTTTTGGATGGCTGCAAGGACAGCTTTCAGAATCGAATTTGCCAAGAAGTCAAATACATGTAAACCTGTATTTTCTGAACAAAACGAGATCACAAAATTTTAACAGCCTTAACAAATAGCAGATCTGAAGTTTGATAAGCAAAGGCTATGAGAAGACTTAAATCATCTTACCCAGAATCTTCACTACCCCTAATATATTCATTTCAGGCACCAATTTAATATTGAATTTTAACAACTGAGATGCTTATATTCACAAAATTCAACAATATATAGTCGTAAATACGGTATACCCTTGTCAGGATACATACATATTTCCGACATCAAATCCAATATAACTTAGAACTAAAAACCCAACAAAGAACAAGATCAAGTTACATCATTAATAAGACCACAGTCGATAAAAAGGCATAGATATATACCTGCAGAAGCAATTTCTAGTAAGAATTTAAAATCATTCTCGACATATTTTTTGATTTGTTGATAATCATTCTCAAGTTCATCCCCAGATGCCCCAGCAACAACTTCTCCCAAGGAACCATGTGGAATTACTTTTTGTATCAATGGAGCCACGATAGTTGTGCGAAAAATTTCTTCTGCATTACCATTGTTATCAATGGCTGCATAAGCACGTAAGCAATTATAAATTGCATTGACATCCCTGTGTTCCAGCCCATCTACAAAACAGTGTCCCAAGCTTGCATCTAACAATAGGCTAGCACTCCGAATCCTCTTTTCAATGTTCTGAATGAAAGGGAGGTTCTGCACTTGCATAATATAGAAAACAGATATTTCATAAGTCTCTACCCTGAAAGAAAAAGCTTTTAACTTGGTGGTTGTTCACATATCTATAATGCATATGAAACAAATTTTGCTGTCAGCCATCATGAAGCAAAGTTACCCTGATAGTTCAACTATTCTTCCAAATTGTGAGACTTTGATATGAATGCAATGTTTACAGCTGATAAGAGGTGCACATATATAATGCTTAAAGAGACTTCGATGCATGAGTTTATAGATGAAGAGGTTCACACTGCTCTTATGCAAATGCATCCTTCTAAATCACCATGGCCTGATGGTATGAATTGAATGTTTTACCAAAAGTATAGGCATGTTGTTAGCAGCAATGTTACCAAAGTAGTTTTGGATTTTCTTCATAAAGGTGATTTTATTGATATACTTACCATACTAGTTTAGTACTAATCCTAAATGTAAGAACCCAGATCAGATGGTGGACTTTAGACCAATAAGTTTGTGCAGTGTTCTTTACAAACCAATTTCTAAAGCGACAGTTAACCTTCTAAGCACATTCTTCCCGCTATAATATGGGAGAATCAGAGAATAAGTTACTTTGCAATGAAATTTCCATACTTATTAATATCATATATATAAATTCAGAAAACAAATCCGAAAGGAAATTCCACAATCAGATTTGGAATATCTCAGTAGCTAAGGCATAAAATTTAAGACTGAAGAAAGAAAGGTACCTGTGCATGAGCAATACTAAAGTTAAGGCGATTCATCTCACTGGCAATTCTCTCAAGAAGCATGCTTTGGGTCTCTCTGAGATTTGTTACTCCATTCTCAACGTGATGTAAGCTCAAAGCATTACTCTTTTGCACTGAATTGACATCCCCATTCGACCAATCTGAAGCCACACTAGGAAGCTCCTTTATAAGCTTTTCAACCTTACAAAGGAGTTCGTTTAAATCAATACTAATACAAATGGAAATTGAAATGAATCAGCAACTATACTATTACGATTACCTTGGAAACAACATGAAAGGTGTCGAGCAGCAACTCCAGCACCTCTCTGGCAGCGGTCGCCTCAGCTCGTTGGCTTAGTCCATTCTTCAAAGCGATGAGTGAGCCCTCAACGGCTCCCCTGAAGCCTTGGATCTTATCGCGGAGCTCAAGAAGCGGAGCGCGCATTCGAAGCACGGCGGAATCCACGTCGACGAGTTTGGTGGAGAGGTTGACAAAGTCGGCATAATCACGGTTGATGAGGTCGATGAGTTCGTGTTTGAGAGAAGAGAGGTGGACCTGGAGCTCGGATCGGAGAGTGTCGAACGGGACAAAGGTTCGGAGCTCCGAGATGTAGGATTCGGAGTCGAAGTTGGGGGAGAGGAACAGAGAGGGCTTGAACCAGAGTGGGTGGGCGTCGAGCGGGTCGGAGAAGAGATCCGTGGCAGATCTTGGGGCTGGAGATGGGATTTGATCTGGCATTTTGATTGGGATCCAAGCAGGGTAGGGGTGAGTTTAGATTTGGATTATAATAATAATTCCTCTACTGCAAACGTTGCTTTAAATTATAATGGGCTTTTGGTAATTTGACGGGAAATGAAGGAGAGAGATCTAATTAGAGAATTTAGCTGTTTGTTTTTGGGAAATTCTAAATAGGCCAATGTTTTTTTATTAGAGTGAGGCTAAATGCACCGCTATATATATATATATATAAATTTTTGTAAATAAAATTATTTAATTATATTTTTCAAATAAGTTTTTGAAAAAACATTTTCAAAAAAGTTTTTCTGGAAGTCTTTAAAAATTTTTAAAATTTATTTTTTAAAACCTTTAAGATTTTTTAAAAATTTATTTTTGAAAGTTTTGAATCATACTAAAACATTTCAATATATCTTTGAGAACTTCAAATAATTTGTTCTTTTTATTTTTTTGTAAAATTTCATGTTGAAATATTTTGGTGTGTTTTAGAACTTTAGATTTTTGAAAAATCTTAAAAATTTTTAAAATTTTATTTCCATTTCCGAAAACCTTTAAAACTTTTTAAAAATTTATTTTTGAAAACTTCTTTAAAAGAGGAAAAATAATTAAGTAATTTCATTTCTAAAATTTTTGAAAAAAAATGGGTGTGAAAAAAAAAAGGTGAGGTGCATTTATTAACACTTTACGTTTTTTCAAAAAAAAATATTTGTAAGTGAAATTATTAAAATACTCTTCTCATAAATTTTACAATTTTTTGAAATTCATTTTTGAAAAATTATAACACCTCTCACAAAATGTATTTCTTAGAGTGTTAAAAGTGTTATTTTATGAAAAATGATAAAAAAAAAAATTTTGTTAAAATTATTTATAAATAAGTGTATGAAAAAGTTATTATTAAAAAATAATAAATTTTAAAATTAATAGAAAAGTTATTTTTATTATTTTTATTTTGGATAAATAATAATATCCAATGAGAGCCTGATTAAATTAAAAATAAAATAGCAAACATAAATTTTTTATAAATTTAAATTTATTATTTTTTAATAATTTTTTATTAGTTATTAAAATTTTATAATAGTTTTAATTAAACTAAATTTCATGAGAAGTCTCTCCATCTACTTATCATTATGGGTTTCTCTGATTATAATATTAGATTTTGATAATATTTAATAATATTATTTATACAATCTCTTTATTCATAAGTATATAATGCTATAGTTAAAAAAATCTCCAACTTTGAGTTAATTTCAATTCTTCGAACACCTTCTCATCGATTCCCAAATTCATATGAAATCGAAGACCTAATAATGATGATTTTTCTCTATATTTCTTATTTGTTGAAATGTCATCAAAAAGTCCAACAAGCATATAATTATTATATGCAAGGACACTGACTAAGTTTAACTTGACTGGTTATATTCTCACCTACTAATGATTTAAAGACCTAACTTATAGTTTCAACAATCAAGGAGATGATTATCTTCATTAAGATTTCAAGGTATCTAATTAGCTTAAAAGCACATATGTTCTTTATGCACTTCTAAAATCAAAGTAAGTTTTTTATTAATTTAAATTTTATTATTTTTTAATAATAAATATTTTCATTATATTAATTTATAAATAATTGTAACAAAATTCTTTTTTTAAAATTTTTATAAAATTTTACTTTTTCATTTTCAAAGTATATTTTCAAGAAATATTATGACTTTTAGGAATTGGATTTTCATATCAAAATTATGAATATTCGAAAACTTATAAGTATTTAAATTATTTTACTTATAAAAAATTTTGAAAAAAAAGTGAGGTATAGAGAGAAAAAAGGTGGGATGCATTTAAAAGATAATTTGTTTTTGGTAAATTATTGAAATTAAGGGTACGAATAATATATTAATATTTATAAATTATTCAGATTGAGTTTGAATAAAATTTAAATTTAATTTTGTTATTATCGAATTAAGTTCGAATAATTTGAGTTATCGAACAAGTCAAGTCTCAACATCCTAACGTATAGTTTGAATAGTTCATATATCTAATTGAACTTTTAAATTTTAATGTACTTTATTATTTTAATTGCAAGTAAATAATTATAAAATTGTACTAAAAATAATTGCCGGTGAAATATACCTCTTTTTGCTATTTACTATTTGCTATCCCACACTTGGACCTTATTTGTAGCAACGAAAGAAATATATGCTGTTGAAACGGGAGGAAATGACTTTTGAATCAACACAAATACACAAGTTTAAGATATATGAAGAAAATTATTGGGTCTTGACATCAAGTTTAAGACCTTAAAAAAAGGGAGCCCTTTGAGGTTTTCCTTTTCTTTTGTGCTGTGGTTGCTCTATTTTCAACGGTTTCTTTCGTTTCTCCGCCTTGTTTAGGGACTGGATAGAAAGAAAAGGAGGAGCTAAATCACTTGACTTCCTCTCAAATGCTATGACCTGATGAAATTCAACCAAATTACTATACATTTAATTACTTATTATAAAAAATGAAAAGGCAAATTAAACCTAAATTAATTATTATATATTACCTTGCAAGAAATAGAGCAGTAGCGATAAAGATCTGGTTCAGCCAACCTTCTCTTGCAGATCTCACATGATGTCTCAGCGTTCAATGTTGGACCGCCGTGGGGAAGAGGATTCAAAGCTATAACCAGTCGTTTGTTGCACTTATATGGCTAATTAAATCACACGACATGAAATTAATTAGATCATTATAAAGACAAAAATTATTTACAAGAGATTGATTTAATTGATAAAATTATTTTTTTCGATGTAAATACTTTGAATTCATTTGAAATATACGATTTGCAATTGTTATTTTTAAGTTATCAAATACGATATATTTCGTCATAATTTAAAAGAATTGAATCAACTTATTTATTTTGGATTTTTTGTAAAAAAAAAATTAGAAATTATATAATGAGAAGTATATTAGTGAAAGGGGAATTGATGAAGAACCTGAATTTCAGCACAGTCAATGTACTTCTCCATGGCACCAAGTGACACGACATCCTTGTAGACATGTCTGTAGATTTTAAGAATCTTGTGATGGCGGTGAGTGGTGGAAGTCATGCAATATTGGCAAGCTGATGAGTCACAATTGATGCAATACCTGTTCTTCTCATTTCTTCGAATTGGATGAAGTGAGCATGAACCAAAGTATGTTCTTTGCAGAAAAGCTTCTAGCCACTCTGGCTTTTGATTTTTGTTTTGGATAACTTGTTCAACCTAAAAAACACCATCCACTAAAACATCATATGTTTAAGCAAAGAAATAATAATTCCTAAAAAGAGAAGAAAACATCACCCATATATTGGCAATTTGCTTTAATAAATTACAAAGTTAAGGAAGAAATGGGAAAAAAAAAAAAGAAAAATGAATAAATTACAAAAAAAATCATGTGATTAAGGTCAATATTTGATGGATGGTGTTTAATATTTATATTAATATGAATAATAAAAAAGAGTTAATATTATCATATAGGTTGATTAACGTATATGACATTGTTAGAGATAATGAACCATAAATTTAAGGAAAAAGAAAGGTTGACAAAAAAAAAAAAAAAGGATAAACGCTTTTAATTAACTCTAAAATGGAAAACATTCTAGGGGGTTAAATTCTCCCTTTCTAAATCATATGAGGCATATTTAATTTACTAATAATCACAATGTGAATTTTTGGAATTATTTTAATTATAAATCAATTCAATTCAATCATAATAATAATAATGATCATTATAACAAGTTAGTATTGTTTTTTTTTATTATTATTTTTCAACCAACACCTTAATTAAATATTGCCTACCAAAGGAAACAAAATTAATTTTTGGGCCCTAAAAAATTTTGCCACTTACCCTGTTCTCTTAAGAGAACTTTGTACTTTATATGGCTTGTTTTATCACTTCAAGACTTTTATTTAATTCTAAACTCAGTAAGTAATTCAATTTTCTTTGTTTTATTTTTATTATTTTAAAGTTACATGTATTAATAAAAATTACAGTCATAACAAAATAATTTTGAATAAGTTAAAATTAAAAAAAAGTTTTGGAACTTTATTATTTTATTTAAATACATTTTTATATTTTTATTACACAAAAATAAACTCTCAATCTTTAATTTGTAATTAAATAAGCTCTTAATTTTTAATTTATATACAAATAAATTCTTAATTTTTAATTTGTATCTAAATAGACCATTATCATAATATATAATACATGTAAAACATTAGTTTTTTACAACCACAAATGCTTGAAGTAAAATCTTTACTTACTTAAAGAGCCAATTTTAACATGATTAAAGAGAACCAAAAAAAAAAATTACAATAATTAGTTTGAAATAAAAATTTGTTTGGATAAAAATTAAAGTATAAAGGTTTATTTAAATGTAATAAAAATATAAAAATTTATTTAAGTATAGTTGTAAATTTTAATGATTTTTTAAATATTTTAACCTTTCAAATAAAATATTTAGAAGAAAAAATTAATAATCAAATCAAATTAACAATCAATGAATCAAAATATAATTTGACAAAAACTATACTTAATGAAACTTAAATTTAAAATCTTAATCGAATATGAGCCCAGGACCTAAATTTCTAGGAGTCTTCCATACCAATGATCAGATAAGACCTCACTGGCTTCATTTACTCTTGATTTTTAACTCCTTTAATCAGGACTTTACGTTCGGTTAATGATCAAACAAACATTTTGCTGAAACTAATTTTTGTGTTAATTTTATTCTTTAATTTTTATTATACTAACAAAAGAAAATGCAATTAAATAAAACAATTTATTTGCTACATATTAATAGGCATCACATTAAGAAAGTTTTAATTATGAATAAACAAATCAATTTTATGTAAATCATCATTATAAAGAGAATTAATGAACAAAATTTAATAGTAAATACTTTGGTACCTGTTTTACAAAGTTGGAGGACGCACTCATGGTGGCCTTCTTTTGAAATGTGAAGGGAGCGGAAAGAAAGAAAATGATTTTAGATGCCCAAAATTTTGATTTTTCACTATTACTTGGACTTGATAAGAAAGTTTTTGAGATTGTATCGATGGAATCGAGGTGCAAATAAGGCTGCAGATTTTCCTTTTCGATTTTTCATTTCAGTCCTCGGGAATAGAGAGTGACCTTATTAGGAGGCATTTGTTGATATTCTAGTGGCTGAAGTATCTTTCTTTAATCACATGAAACAAAATTTATCACAATTTTTTTCAGAATAATAAATATTTATTTAGTTATTCACTATTATTAGAGCTTTATTGGTGGGTTTGCGTAAATTTTTTTTTTATTTTATTTCTCTACATTGCAAGAGCATTTTCACTTTGTTAAAAAAACAAAAAAAGAAAATTATACTTGATTTGCCCCTCTCAACACTCTAATAGTTAGATACTTAAATTAGAATTTTGAAAATATTAACTTGTAGCTTAGAGTTTATGTTTAAATTTAGAGAATGATGTTGAACAAAGTATATAGTAATGGGTTTGAAATTGAAAAGAAAAATTAATGATATAGTGCGGGTTATTTAAAGATCAAATTTAAATGGTAAGTTGCCATTCCATCATCCTTTGAATATGAAAGTGATTTATACCAAGCAAAATGTTATTTGCACTAAGATAATAATAATTTGAATCAGATTTGATTCATTTTGATTTTTTTAAATAATATTTACAATTATAAATTTTTAAAATTTGATTCGAATTCGAATTGAAATTTTATATGATTCGATCTTAAATGAATTGAATTTTATCTATTCTATTAGAGTTAGCAGTTTCTTTTTTTTTGTTTTTTATATATTATTTTTATATGATTTTTAATATATTTAAATAAATTTAGATATAAAATAATTATTTTATTTTATAAAAATTTAAAATATATATAAGCTAATAAAATATATAATTTGATTTGATTTGTTTTTTTTTTTTTTTTAATTTTTTATTCAAAATTTAGTTCGAATTTAATATATATTTAATATTTAAATTTAATCCAAACTAAATAAAAACAATTGATTCAAACTAAACCAAAGACAACAATTTTAAATCTATTTTCAATTTTTTTAATTTTTTCCCACCTCTAATTTGCACTAACATATTGTATTCAAATAATGCATCAACTTATATTATTATAAAGATATAAGAAAAAAAGTATTACATTTTTATGAGTTATAATAAAATTTTGAGAATAAAATTTTATGTGAATAGATGAAATCAATATATTAAATAATATATTAGATAAATATATATAATCTTTTCATATTAGAAACATAAAGTAAAAAAACCTATTTTTCAATCAAAATAAAAGAATTAAGCACCCTAACGATGGTTATATTTGTCGGTGCATAATCATCCTCTTAAAAAAAAAACTAATTAACAAAAGGAGAGAGAATTAAAAAGTAACCCAATTAAATTAATCATCACCAAGAGTTGTTCAGCGGCTTTTCCAGCAAAGCTGAAACGTACATCTCCCTGAGCTCCGGTCCACGATCAAGCTTCCTGCCCACCACCCACTTCAACTTGTTGAATCCAACGCTTTCAATAAGAGGAGCATAGACCTCTTCCAGCTGCTCTCCAGTACAAAAGAAATGATCCAACCAAAACAATCCTCCTGGCCTTAGCACCCTGTATATATCAAACATCAAAAACTGCAGCGTCGTTGTTGGAATCCAGTTGCTCAAAACGTGCATCGAGTGCACTATATCCAATGTGTTATCGAAAAAGGGGAGCCTCTGCGAAATGCTAAGGTACAAAGGCACAACCCCTCTTGAGGCAATGAAATTATTGAATGGACCATTTAAATTCATGGAAGTTGTCACAATGGTTATGTTTCTTTCTTTCATTCTCACAGCAAAGGTAGCCACTCCACCACCAATGTCAAGCCCGATCCGGATTGTGCCTGGTCTTCTTGTCGCTAACACTTCATCGATAGCAAAGTCAAGTGATCCATTTTCAATTCTCTTTGAAGTCCAACGACTTCTCTCACGACCTTCAAGATCAAAGCAATCCTTGCAATCGTCAAAACCCTTTTGCTTACTCTTCCTATTGATCAGACAATTGTAGTTCTTGCAAGCATAAGCTGTCCATACAACTGATGAATCGGGTGGTGTTGTCCATAGGCTGGTTGGTAGTGGATAAGGTTCGGTGTATCGATGTGGTGCAGCAGGGCGACAACGGCGACGAGGCAGTGGCTCGCAGCCCTTCAGGAGGAGCTTCTGGGCAAGCAGCTCGTCGTCCGGACATGATCCATTAACTTTGTATGTCATGTAACGTCGGAGTTCATCTGAGAAGAGTGTGCAGGCGCGTCCCACTGGAGAATACATGGTGTCAGAACCAAAATTTGTGTTGAACCCAAATGGGAGTGACTGTCCAGAAACAAACCTAAGGAACTCATCAGATTGTGGCAATGGTTGAGAGGGTTCAGACATAGACAAATCTGAGACACTGATTCCAATATCACTGCCATTGGTTGCAGCGGTTGAAGTAAGAAATCTGAGAGAGCAAGAAGAGTAAAGAGTGGAAGATAGGAACAAGGTGAGTAGATTTGTAGACAAGAGGAGGAAAAGAAAGTAAAGATTAGTGGAAAGAGACTTGGGTTTTGGAGAGGAATCCATTGGTGTCGTTTTTCTGTATTATTAGGTCGGTCGAAGATTAAGATATAAGCAACCATAGAGAGTAGGAAGCTAATTGATACAATGCAATATTTTTAAAATTATGATATATCAACTAAACAAAATAATATATATGAATGAGATGATAATCAAAGGTAATATATCAAAATCCAACCAACAGATGTTAACTACTACTAATCTACCGGGCGGAACCTGTATAAAGTCAACTCAGTTATAGATCTTATGTAAACTGGTTAACCTCCATTTTCTAGTTCCTACAACCAAGAAAAACCTGTCCAGTAGTGAATGGAGAGTACAAATGAGAATATTTGTACTGTATTTGATGTGAATTATGAAAATTATTATATCATAATTTTTATTAATATATTAAAATATAAAATATTTTTTTATTAAATTATTATATGATTTTTATAAAAATTTTAAAATTATGTTATTTTTGTTATTTGTTATTTTTTATATTATATTCCAATATGATATTATTGTTTTGAACTTAAAATTGCTCTAATAAACATGTGAAATGTGCTTTTAACATGCATTTGGTTACAAGTTAATCTATAATCGGAATAGTAGCTAAATCACTTATATTTTATTGGATTTTATAATTTATATATTTATATTATGTAAAATGTTAAAATTTATATATTTATATTATATTTTATACAAAAATTATGTATAATAATTTATATTAAAATAAAAATACAAAATATATTCTTTATTTATAAATTTAAAAATAATAATTATTAAAATTTTAAATCATATTATTATCAATTTTTTTATATTATATTTATATTTTATTATCGTATCCTATTTTAAGTTGCAGGTATACACTTTATTGGAGAAAGCCTTCTGTTTCTACAGTGAAGGTTTACCTTGGGAAGGCCTTTCTTGTACGCGTCCTGACTTACACAAATACCCCTATTGTCCTTTTTTTTTTTTTGTTCACTCTCAAATTCTTAAACTATTACATTCATATTTAATATTTTATAATTTCCCATAAAAAGTTATTATCTCAAAACTTACTTTAAATAAAAAATAAACTCCTTTTCTTAATTGTTTACTAATTTTTTGCCCTTTTCCCCCAATCCTTATGCCCTTTTTTAGTTTTAATAAATTCTTTATCAAACAAGTTAAGATAATTTATTTGTTTAAATAAATATAATTATAAATAATTATAAATTAAAATATTATAAACTATATTGTTAAACCATAATTTAGCTTAATTTATCAAATTTAATTTGATACCTAATTATAGATTTTTTAAAACTAATTAACATTTGTAATGTATAATTGAAAATTTTTCAAGCAACAAATTGTTTACTGTCACATGGGATCAATAATATCATTTAAGTCAACCATTTAATTATTTAATTTTATTATTAATTAAATATATCACTTGACAATTGAAAATAAATAGAATTAGTTATTTGACTAATCAAAATTCTAAGATTCATAGTATGGTCAATCAAAATTTATTTAAAAATCATCTAATATATCTCTTAACTAAATCAAAATAATTTAGAGATAAATCTAAATATAGACTAATCAAATTTCAAAGATTGTTGCATAATCTAATTAAAATTTACACTTGGGTTTTCAGTTTTAATTTTTAATTAAATTAGAATTATTTAGAAATAAAAATAAAAAAGTTTAAGTTCTCTTAGAACTTTCTCTTGCTTAACAGATTGACACTATAAATACACTATTTTTCTAAACCATTTGACTCACAATTAATAATTTTGAAATAAAAGTAAGAGGTTTTGAAGACTCAAAACTTCTTCAAAAGTCTCAAGAATCATTCTATGAAGATTTGAAAAAATTTTGAACAATTTGAAGAGCGCAATATTTGGATTCCAAAAATTTTTAAAAAGTTGCTTTTCAATCTTATTTCGCTTAAAAAAAAAGATTAATTCCATTTGTTTAAGATAAAGTTTTTCAGACCTTTGAAGTGAATTTTTCATTAAAAAAATAATCAAAGAAATTTTCTTTGTTTTTGAGAATTTTCAAAAATTATAATTTTCAATCTTATAATAAAAATTTTATTTGTCTTCAAATTTTCCATTTTATTTTTACTCCAAATTTGGTACAATTCATAACTACCTCAATCTCAATTATGAAGCAAAAGAAAAATAAGAATGTGAAATAGAATAATTAAGGATGGAGAAATAAAAAATATAAAAGGTACACTTCTTTTTCTATTTAAAATTGACTGGGTAATTGGCACCATTACCTATTTTAAGAAAGAAAGAGAGGAATTTTATTTTCCTTTTCAAATTAATAGATTTAAAATTAACTTAGTAATTGGTATCTTTACCTTTTTTTTTTTTAAATAAAGATATCCACGACACCTTGATTTAGTGACAAAGAGAAGGTGTTAGAAATTTGAGATCCCTAAATGTGATTTCAATTATTAAATTATATTTTAATTTATTAATTAATTATTTAATATAACTTAATTATCATATAATAATTAATTGTTCAATTGATTATACGTATATAATATTTAATTATGATTGTAACTTGAAAAAAAAAAAAACGTAAGGAGAATTTTTCTTTTTTAGTTAATATAGTTAAAATTAATTTGGGTAATTGGCAGCCTACCTATTTTAACAAAGATAGAGAGGATTTTTCCTTACAAATTAGTAAAGGTAGGTGTATATTTTTTTACTAAAACCTCAAAAGAATATTGTATTTACACTTTTTAATAGGGCTTTTTTTTAAGTTATTACTAATAGGCTTATTGTTTTTGAAATTGGTGTGTTTCGTAATGTTTTAAATTTATCAATTTTGTCTTCAAACTTTTAGTTTAGTAGTTAAAGATGTTTAAAGGGATATCAATGGCTTAGTTCCGAACCAAGTCTCTCCCATTCTCCTTATTTTATATTAGGGTTTTACTTTCCTGATGTAACAAAAAAAAATTTACCAACTTTAAATTTTTTAATATTATATATGTAATTTTCTACTTTCAATTATGTATATATTTCTCATATAATATATTTGTATATATAAAAATATTAATATTATATAAATTATTAAAGTTAAGTCTCCAATTATTCTAAAAGCTTAAATTGATAAAAAAAAATCAATCATCATATTTAAATTTCAACATATCTTTCACGTGCAAGCCGAATAAATGATTAATGGAAAGGTGTAAGCTGAGGGAGACTTTTATTGTATAAAAAGTTAGAGAAATAGGTTTTTATTGTAAAAAAAAAAAATCGTATGAAATGGTTATTCATTATTTAATTATTATATATGATATGTAATAAATAATTAGTTTTTTAATAATATAATTATTAATTATATGATATAATTTGAATAAAAAAATATATGTATTGATATGGAATAACAATTTCATATTATCTAAATTCCTTGTCCCTATAAATTATTGAAAAAATGATTGTTAAAACTTGGCCATGAGCCATTTTGGCAAATAAAGAAAATAAATGCAGATAAACAAAAAATAAAACATAGTTTGTTCAAAGAATGAATGAAAATTTCATTGAATTTCTATTTACAGGTTTTTGGTCTAATCTAAAGACAAATTGTATCATGTAAATCAAAATGGTCTTTTGAGATACTTGAAATCCATTGATGAATCCACACAATCAACCCTGTTCTTGTAAACATTTAGCAATTTTAGCAACTTTGTAACCTTCTCCTTTGTAGTCTCACCACATCCAACCTGTAAAATTACCAACAATTTCTGAAAAGCCCCCAATTGAATAGCATCAATTATAGCACTTTCTTCATCCTTCATTATCTCATTCTTACACAGTTTCCAAAAAATCGACAGTGAAAGCTCTGTTGCCGAATTTGAAACCCTCAAAATCTTCTTCACTAAAACAGGCATAATCAAAGCATTCTTGTAGGCCTCTTCCTTCCCTTTTTCAGTGTTGCAGATAGCATCCAAGACGGCCAAAGCCTTCTCGCAAACACTTTTCTCAGCCTCAACAATGATCTCTACAATCACAGGAACCAAACCCATCTCCAAAAATCTGGAGGTAATCTTGCCATTGCTCACCATTGAAGTAATCAGGTAGTAAATAGCCATGAGGGAAGCTTTTGTAGCAGTAGGGGAAATAGGCTCCTTGATCAAATGAACTAGAGTTTCAACAACTTCTTCAATCTCCAGCAAGGTCTTTGAAATTACATGTGTTTCATCCGAATAAAGAAGCTCCTTGAGTACTAAGATGGCATTCTGTCTAGAAGAAAGATCTCCATTCCTCAAAAACCAAATAATACAATGTAAAGAAGACTCGGATACCAGCTTGGATCGGCCTTCTTCGCCCAAAGGGAAAAACCAGGACAACACTGACAGAATTTCCCGCAATAGATTCATGTGTTTCTCCAATGAAACACTGGCAAAAGACTCGAAAGTGGCTGATAAACTGCAACCTGTTCCGTTTTCCACAACGCAACGCTTGTTACGTTCGCTTTCTTTGCCCCAGTTCTTGATCTTCTTAACCAATTCTCCACACTTGTTTCCATCTCCACGTTGAGTGGCATCGACAATCCTCGAACAAGCTTCTGAGACCTGATATGGGGACACTGGAACTCGTGGAGTAGGGATCCGTTCAACGCCATGAGAACGGTTTTCAACGCACCAATCTTGGATAAACCTTCGCAGTATATGATTTGGGATCAGATCAAAGGTTTTTGATACTTGTTTCGTCACTGGACAGGTTTCATTGCCGGCTTCAATCCATCTCTCAATGCTCTCCCGATCGTAGGTGATCCCAGTGCATAACGTGACAGGATCTTTCATTAAATCAAGAGAAATTGGACATTGAAAGTGTGTAGGAATCATGACTTCCACATCCAAACCATCACACAACTGCTTGTTGTTCATCTTGTTGGCTCTACGTTTTCTCCAAGGTAAAATCATTGTGATTATCAGGCAAAATTTTGGTTGAAGACAAAGTGACAAAAAGTGAAGGAGGCTTTGATATTTATACGAGGGATGAGAAAGTTGGTAGTTTTTACCTACGAAAAGAGAAAAAGGTCAGGTAAAACGCGGGTCAAAGCTAGGTAAGGGCAGGGAAAAGGTTTGACCGTTGAATGTTTGAAGATTATATTTACAGTTGGCTGAGGATTAAGCGGCTGACTGAGTCAAACGGTCAACAAGTCATTGCACTGACTTCTACATTTGGACCGCCGGCGCGCGGCGCGGGTCTTTGGTCTTTTAAGGTAAGGCGGTTTTGAAGATGGTAAAATTGATCTGATCCGCGTATCTGTATCAGATCACACGCAACCTTTCCTAATTTTTTTATTCCAATCCTGTAATTACTTAAATATGATAAAAAAATATGTAAAAATTAATTATTTAAATAGTTATTTTTAATAAATAAAATTTTTTTATCTCTATAAATTCCAGCTGCGCGCTATTTTGATCCTTATCTTTATATCGATATTTTCGTTAAGTATTAAGCGCACGTGTTTTTGGATATTTATGAAATAAGCATTGGTAAATCAACGTTCAAATATTTAATTATGTTTTTTTTAGTACGAAATTAATTCCAAATATGCATTTTTTTTATGAGATCAGTGCTACAATGCCTTCAATTTTGTGTTCAAATGATTAAAATTTGCTTTGTATAATTTTAATTATCTTATTCTTTTCATATTTATTTTTCATTCTTGTTAAAAAATATAATTCTTCGCTTAAAAAAAGATTATACTAATATATCATATTTATATATGTACAATTTTCATTGATTAAGAAAAAAATTACATTACATTATAATTATGTTGATATGATATCGTAATTATATCATAATATTAGATATTATTCGTAATCATACCATATTGATATTGTTCTAACTATAGTAACATGATTTTTAATATTAGGTTTGAGTTTGATTATATAATTACATTAATATTATGTTAGAATTAGTAGATTCATTATTTCTATGTTGATTACTTTTTGTTTGCGCATATTCAAATTCCATTTAGTTATATTCATTTCCGACATAAGAACTATGCATATTTATGAATACATTCAAATGAATGAATGATATTTTTCAATTTATATAGATATGATATTTTTCATCGTCTCCATTTTGTCCATTAAGTTGCAGGTTTTGTGAATTTTTTTTTTCCTCGGCTAAGAAAGAAATTTTACATTGCAAGACGTGATTAATTTCTTTGGCTCGAAATTTAGAGTTTGATAAAATTGTTTGATATTGTGCTTTAATTTTATTCTCTACTAACTTTTTTCTTCCTTTATAATTATTTATGTCATAATTTGTTTTAACTATATATTTTTTTAGATTTAATAATTGAAAATATGACACAGTGATATAACACAAATACAATATAAAAATAAAATACAAAAGTGATATAGTTTAAAATTTTAGTAAAATTATATATAGATTTAACAAAACTAAAAAAATATATATTTCATATTTTTGTATCGATACGAATTGCGACATATAATTTTTGTATATATAATATGAATACATAAATTTTAATATTTTATATAATATAAATATACAAATATTAATATTTTATTCAAATAATTAAAAATATAAAATATGATATAAATACATAAATTTTAATATTTTATAAGACATCGATATACAAATTTCAATATTTTACCCAAATAATCAAGAGTATATGGACATCTTCTGCTTCTTCTCTAAATATTAAGCATTTTTCTCTTTTTTTTTTTCTCATCCAATTATTGTATTAATGTGTTTGTGGAAGTAACAACATAGACACTAATAAAATGATATATATATATATATTTATCAATGCTAATTTATTGATATTTTTATAAAAAATATTAATTTCCAAAGTTAGGAATTTATGCTAAAATCTCTTATAAATATTTTAATTAAGGGCAATCCCAAAAGTCATAATGCAAATGAAATTAGATATTATTTAAATAGATATAGTGAAAATAGATATTAAAATACCATAGCAAAAATAGTAAATTTATATTTGACAAATTGAAATGAGATGATATATATATTATTATTACACACAAGTAATAAAACTTTTTAAGTTTCATAAATGGGTTTAAATAATCAATACATATCCATTCAAATTATTATGTTATTTAATAAAATAATTTTACTTAAAATAATAAAAATTGATTTACATGTAATTTCAATAGACTTTTTACAGTTTATTTTAACCATTTCGAATTTAATTTAACGATGTCAAAAATTCTTTTGACTTTTAAGTTGCATAAGTGGGTTTAAATAATCAATACGTATCCTTTTAAATTATTATGTTAATTTAATAAAATAATTTCACTTAAAATATTAAAAAAAATTGATGTACATGTAATTTCAATAGACTTTAAAGTTTATTATAATCATTTAAATTTAATTTAAGAGTTTCAAAAAAACTTATAATGCGTATAATAAATTAAATATAAATTTATCATAGGAGAATAAAAATTATTTATAAATTCTATTTTTATAAATACATAAAACTACACGTGCAGTGCACGTGTCATTACACACTACTATTTTTTAAAATTTTTAGTTGGCAAAATTTTATTTAAAGGTGGCAATTGGATGATGAGAACAGATTTGGATATATAATTTTAGATCAAGTAATTTTTGGTTAAAAATTCATACCATTTTGAGTTTAGATTATTTTAAATTTGTGTTATTTCGAATTTGATTCATTTCATTTTAAGTTTTTCATATTTGACATTTGAGTTATTTGATTTATATCATCTACTCGAATCATTTTTTAGTCCAAATTATTAAAATTTAAAATAAAATTAATTTAATTTTAAATTTTTTTGTTAATCTTTTAGATAATTTTAATTTGAATCATTTTAAATTCAAATTATTTTAATTTGAATTATTAATTATTTTAATTAAATTGGGTTCGATTAAATTCGGATTCTGAATAATTAAATGAATTTTTTTGGTTTGGGTTAGGTTTCATAGCTCTGATTCTAACCGATGCCTAAATGCTTCATTTTTAGCATTATCCTAATTTAAATTGAATTCTCAATATTTACTAATTAGTTTTCATCCCAAATTAAAGGTTTACAGGTTGGGCAACAAGAACATGTTTGGGTTTGGTCCACAAATGAGATCCAATCCATGAAGAAATGAAAGCAACAATTGAATGAGAGGGGACAGATGCCTTGGAAATTGAGAGCGAAACGTGAAGCCATGTGTGGGACAACTAAACCTTATCACAACACTCGCAGGTCAAGGTCCCCGCATAAAACTAAGGACAGCCACGCTATTCCCCACACATCTGTTTGCTTATTGAATGGCATTGTGCTGTTCAATTCTGGTTTTGCTGTTTTTTTCTATCAGAATTTCCAACATCACATTAATTTTGTCACGGTTTCAGTTTGAATCAAGCGAGATGTCAATCCCATCTTTGCCCATGTTAACATCCTGGTTGGAATTTGGTGTTCAAAGCTACTTTTGTAGGTTTACTTGCATTTTTTTATAAGCTAGACCTGATGATTTGTATAGTTAGGATGTATAAAATATTAAAATTTATGTATTGAAATCTGTTTTACATAAAAATTATGTATTAAAATTTGTATTTGTGTTGATGCGAAATGTATTTTTTTTTTTAATTTTGGATTACTAACTATACTTCGAACACTAACCGAATTTTTGACAGCTATGCAACAAGACAAAAAAAATTTTCTTATTAATTTCAACCTTCATACCCCCATTGACAGTTGCAAAGATGGTTTCTATGGATGAGTTCACATTTGGTCATTTGCACATAAAATCGATGCTAAAGTTTTCTCATCAGCAACAGCATAATCAGAGGCCAGTTCACCGCAGGATTAAGAATGAGGCATTTGCATGAATGAAACATGAATGAAGTGTTTGGCTTTTAGGAAATCCAAAATCATATTCCAACAAAAATACAACGTCGTGGGATAAAATAATTTAGAGAACAAGTGCACTAAGAAGGTAAGAAGCAATGAGAATGAACATGCAGAGCCACTGATTCCATAATTTACAACTGCTTATCTCCCATCTGCCGATGTAAATGATTCAGCAAATCCATAAGGCCGTGTAGGAATGCTGGTTTGAGTGTTATCTAAGCTGGGAAGAAGTGAAGAAGATGAAGATTCCAAATTGCTTTTCCCTTCATAAGCTTGCCATTTCTTTAGTGCTTGTGGCAATGACATTCAAGGTCAATGCTATACATGTCTTCAGAACATGGATCAATTGGCTTCCACATCTCCACTAGAGAAGATAGCACATTGACAGCATGACCCATATCAGGCCTTTGATATGGTTCCCTTGCACAGCAATGACCTGCCAACTCAGCAACAGTGCTGATGCTGGAAAGTGTTTCCTCATTGAGGTCAATTGTGGGGTCAATTGCTTTGCAGAAGTAGTCCTTGTTGATGAGCATTCTCTTGAACCATGTAACCAGGTGCATGCTTTCCTCAGGTTGGCTCTCATCAAGTGCTCTTCTGCCAGTGATTAGCTCCATCAATATCACCCCAAAGCTAAATACATCAACTTTAGTTGTAACTCGTCCAGTAACTGCACTCCGTATTCAAAGACAAATTCATTGGATGTCAGCACCGGAAATACTTGCATACTTTTATCATGCATATTGATTTGCATTTATGTTTATTAAGAAGAAAATAAATGAAATTAAAGAGAAAAACCAATAAACAAAATATACCTGCATATTCTGGTGCCAAGTATCCAAAGGTTCCAGCAATTCTAGTTTCAATGGATCCTTTACCCTCAGGAGCAAGACGCACAAGACCAAAATCTGCTACCTTAGCCCTCATGTCATCTCCTAGTAGAATGTTTGAAGGCTTCAAGTCTCTATGTATAAAACTTTGATGGGCCAAACCGTGAAGATATTCAACACCCCTTGCCACATCTAAGGCAATGGTCAACCTTCTTGTCCATTCAAGTGGCTTTAATCCTTCTTCTGCCCAGTTAAAGATAAGTCTACTTAGAGTACCTTGGG